CCCACGCCCCTCCCCTCAACGAAAAGGAGAGAAATGAAGAGAAGTGAGTATGCGGCTAGGGGTAGAAACGTGAGAGCAGTGCTTGGGTGGGGTGGGGTGGTATGGGATGGCAGGTGAGAGAAGAGAAGGGGGCCACTGGTGCAGCCTCAGCTACAAGCCACAGACCCAAGGGGGGTACACACCTGGGAGGCTTACCTGCAGACCTGAGAGTATACCTGTTATACCTGGGGGGATTTGCCCTAGAAAAGGGGTCTGTGGCTTGATGCTTTGGCTCAACCAGCCGCTTGCATTTGAAGAGACAAGAAAACAGGAGATGCAGCAAGGATGAACGTGGAAAGCAAAGAAACACGAAAGAGATTGGGAGGAGAAAGTGAGGGCGGATACTTAGCTGTGGGTGGGTTGGGTGGAGAGCAGCTGCTGTTGCACTCCATGTCCCCCGCCACTGCCACTCCCGTGTGAGCGACCTGCTGGGACGACGGGGATTGGAGCAGAGAGAGGAAGGGAGGGAGGAGAGGACGGGGATGTGAAGGGAAACGAGAAAAGAGGGAACACAGGGCAAGGAGCATCAAGCGAAGCGAGCATGGGCAGAAAACCAAGCAGCAGCGTGAGTGAAGGAAGAACAGACATTCAAGCATCTGTGGCAGGGAGGGGAAAAGAGGCTCACCTTGTTTCAGACAACCCAGCCGATACTCTCCCTTCCCATCCCAGCCGAGTGTGGAGTGCTGCCCCCCTTCCCTCCCACCACTGCCACCTGCACGGCCACAGGGGAGGAGCGCGAGGGAGCAGCGGTGTTGACCCCCACGCCCCTCCCCTCAACAAAAAGGAAAGAAGTGAAGAGAAGTGAGTACGTGGCTAGGGGTAGAAATGTGAGAGCAGTGCATGGGTGGGGTGGGGTGGGGCGGGATGGCAGGTGAGAGCAGAGAAGGGGGCCACTGGTGCAGCCTCAGCTACAAGCCACAGACCCAAGGGAGGTACATACCTGGGAGGCTTACCTGCAGACCTGAGAGTATACCTGTAATACCTGGGGGGGTTTACCCAAAAAAAGAGGTCTGTAGCTTCAATCTTTGGCTCAACCAGAGGCTTGCGTTTGAATGCACAAGGACTGAAGTGGAACGAAAATGAATGCAAGAGGCAGGGCGCGGGTACTTAGCTGTGGATGGGTCGGGTGGAAAGCAGCTGCTGCCTGTGCACTCCATGTCCCCCGCCACTGCCACTCCCGTGTGAGCGACCTGCTGGGACGAGAGGGGGCAGATCTGTACAGAGAGCGGAAGGGAGGAGGGGCGGGAGAAAACGGGGAAGTGAAGGCGGAGCAATGAGGAGAGAACCGAAGACGAGAGGAGTGAAGTGAGAGCAAAGAGTGCAGCAAGTGCGTGAATGGTGCGTGCATGAATGGACTGCTGCAGTGGCACACCCAAGAGACCTCGTACCAGCTGAACCAAACTAAAACAAATACCTGAGGCTGTACCAAGAAAAAATATACCTGCTACCTTGGGGGAGGGAGGTCAAGTGGGTGTGACAAAGAGCAGTGAAAAAGGGAGGATGATGCATGGTGCAGATATGAGATGAAAGCAAGAGAGTGGAGGGAGGAGAAGGCACTTAGCTGGCGGTTGAAGAAGCACCAAGAGCTGATGCTGGCGGGGGGGCTCATGTGGCGTGTGGAGGGCGCAGATGATACTTTCAACCTTCCATGCGTTCGACGCTGCTCTCATCCTCCGCTCCTCTGCTGCTCTCATCCTCCGCTCCTCTGCTGCTCTCATCCTCCGCTCCTCTGCTGCTCTCATCCTCCGCTCCTCTGCTGCTCTCATCCTCCGCTCCTCTGCTGCTCTCATCCTCCGCTCCTCTGCTGTTCTCATCCTCCGCTCCTCTGCTGCTCTCATCCTCCGCTCCTCTGCTGCTCTCATCCTCCGCTCCTCTGCTGCTCTCATCCTCCGCTCCTCTGCTGCTCTCATCCTCCGCTCCTCTGCTGCTCTCATCCTCCGCTCCTCTTCTGCTCCCATCCTCGCTCTTCTGCTGCTGGAGAGCATAAGGGCCTTGGCGTTGCGGTGGTCATTTGAACCTGCCAGGAAAGCGAGGAGAGAAGTCAGTGAGTGCATGGCGGCAGGCAACAATCCAACGGAAAGAAGATGCGAATGAAGGAAAGATGCACGACCACAGCACCACACGAGCCAGGTAGAAAAAAAAAACACCTGAAGGGGCACCTGAACCTTGACCTTCACCAGGGGGGGCTCATGTGGAGTGTGGAGGGCTCAGATGATACTTTCAACCTTCCATGAGCTCGACGCTGCTCCTCCGCTCCTCTGCTGCTCTGCTCCTCTGCTCCTCTCCTGCTGGCGTCCCCGTCGCCAGCCTTGTGCGCAGAAGGGCCTTGGCGTTGCGGCGGTCATTCAAACCTGCCAGGGAAGCGAGGAGAGAAGTCAGTGAGTGTATGGCAGAAGAAAGAGATCCATGCCAAAGACGATGCAGATGAAAGTAGATGCATGTGCACGATCACAGCACCACAGGAGCCAAAAAAAAACACCTGAAGGGGCACCTGGACCTGATCCGAACCTCAACCTTGATTGGGGCGGGCTCTAGTGGAGTGTGGCGGCAGGAGGTGATACTCACAACCTTCACCCTTTAAACACTTAAGTTTGAGTTGTTTGGACGCTGCTCCAACCTTCCCCCTTGCAATCCGTCGCCTGGCGCTGCGCCCCTGCTATGTGCGGTCGGAGAGCTCTAGTGGGAGGGAAGGAAAGATGCGGCGGCCACAGCGTGCGTAAGAAAAGTAGGTCGCGCTTACTAAATCCATGTGCGAGATTAGATCGCGAAAATAAATTTCGGATTTGAAATCGCGGAATTGAAACGAGAAGCTGAAACGCGACAACCACGTGCAGAATCGATCGGTGAATATGCTCCCAAAATTGAAACGCGAAACGGAAAAGCGACAACGAGACGTGAGACATCCGCGAAATGTTTTGACTGTCTGCATGGGAATGGCTTTCGGAAATACCTGAGCTGCCACACGAAGCGAGCCAGTCTGAAATCGCACGCGCTCGCCGAATTCGCACGAACTTGCCGAAATCGCATGGACAGCCAGATGGCGTTTGTGGTTCGAATGACATGTCGCCTCCGCAACAAACCTGCAACATGCAACCAGCAAATGTCAGACGCACCACTAAACAATCTCGCGTGTGCTAAAACGAAAGTATATCAAACCGCTAAATAAGCAGTCAATTTTACCTTGTTTATAAAAAATCGCCGGCCTCACACTTGTTCTTCCATAGTCATCGCCAACATTTCCGTAGTCTCCAGGCTTCGTGACTCCAACGCCCGATATTCTCGTCCCGCAATCGAAGCTTCTACAATGAAGCCAGACCTGAGCAGAATCATTCCTCCAGCCTACTTTGAGAATAAACTTCGTTATGGGTTTGCCTTTTCGCGGCAGCTCTAAGAAAACGAGCAGAAACAGCTGAGCGTGAGAAAAGGTGAGACAAGAGGCGAAAACGCTGTGAAATTCGAGGCTCAGGCGAAAATGAATGAGGCGAGCGACGACTGTCATGTTGGAATGAGGCGGAGGGGTCACCAACTGCCTCGCCTCTCCTTACCTCACAAACATCCTCTTCAGATCTACCGTCCAGAATCACAGGATTGTCTGAAACGCTTTTGGTAACTCAGATCGCAGCCGTAGGTTCGGACCTCCTGCGTTTTCGTCACCGCAACCCAGCCAGTTCTCATTAGTCAGTCTACAACACTGTGTTGGGTTGGGACGAACAATGACGGTGGCTGCGTATGGTTGGTCCGGTCAGGCTCGGTTTTTTCTCCATAACAGGGAGATTCGAGAGTCCACTATGGTGGCTGGTTGAAAATCGTCCGCGTGGCACATGAATCAGCCGGTCAGGGACGGGAAAAGAAAATTACCAAGTTTACGTTTGTCCTCTCCTTTCACCTCAGCGGCTACGCGAATCGAGCAACACCATTTTTCGGCGAGATTCCGTTGACAAAGGCGGGAATCGCGGGATTTCGCTGGTGAACGTTGGACTTCTTGACCTGGGAACCGTCGATTGCCCTCTCATCTGGAGCCGCAGAGGAATTGTTTCAGCTTGGAACGCGGCAAAGCCCAATGGTTTGAATTTGAAGCCGTGGTTTCAGCCACTAGGAACGAAGTGAATCGTAGCCGTGGATACAGATTTTAGGCAAGCAGGTGCGGTTGAGATCCGGGGTTGAAGCTCTCCATTCACTCCCTGACGTTGCTCTGTGGCCAATGTGGGCGAAGATGAAGGATCCCTGCCTCGCGACATTGGTGTACTCGTCGTTGATTTGGCTGGGGAACTCTGACACATGCTGGCTGTGATCAGGGAAGACCTGGTGGGGCAGGCAATAAGATGAGATGTTAGAACACTGGAACACTGAGAAACAGCAATTATAAACAAACTATTAGTAAATACTTCCCACCCCGCCACAGCTCCATCGTGGATAACCACCCTTGACAGACACATACCTGACCACAGCGTTTGGCACACCAGAGGCCAAGCTCTGGTTTTGCCGAACGAGGCTTTGTAAAGCACGAACCAAAATACGCTGGGAAACTTGCTTCGGAGCTACGGTGTGGTAACGCAAACAGCAGGCAGGCTCGGCATGACCTTAGACCCTGCGTCCTTACCATCCTTGGTTCGGCCTGCTTCCTGTCTTTCTGTCCCTTCTCTTCGCGCTTTATGGGAATTGCATCACAGTTCATGTAGCAGTCTTCAGATAGGTTTGGTTCGGTTCGAAATGCTTCCGTAGAAGAACCGCTTTAAAACATACATTAACGTACTCAACCGTTTCCAGCTGGGATTCTCGTCGTGTCACACCCTCATTACTCAAGCTTCCTGACTAAACTAACTCTTCTCTTTGATCTCCGTCAGGAGGATCTGGCAGGTGTCCTAGGGAGCATATCGCGCTCTAGCCTGCAGCTCCCTTCACCTTATGCATATACTTGAACCGTGAACGACTCTTAGCTTGGTTGTGTCAAAGAACCAGCCATGGCGACGTTCGCCAAGCCGGAGAATGCGCTGAAGCGCGCAGAAGGTCAGCAACGTTGCTCTGTTCTTAGAACCTCCACGTGCTGCTAGTCACTTGATCGGTATGAGAAACGAAAGTTGATTTGGCCGCATGCACGAAGATTAGGGATTGTCAGGCGCCTTTCAAGATTGTGTCATTCTTTTAACAGGATAAGCCATGTCGTTCAGTCTTCGCGTCAATCAAGATCGTTAGTGAGCAGTATCGGCAGGGCAGCATAAGTTTGACCCTTTTATTTCGGAACTTAGTCGAACTGTAGATTCGCTGGATTATTGTTTCGCGTAGAGCCGTCGTCGCTACGCGATGCCATGTCTTGGCAGCTATATGACGGATAACCCTTCACGAGAAAGATCTGCTCTAGTTAAGGGTTCCTGGACAGGGTAGCATCTCTAGTCCGATTCCTTTTTGGCGCGTGGATGCAGTTGAGAAACGGTAGATGTCGTCCTAATTGAGCTTAGTCAAAATTTTCATCATCGGCCTTTATCGTGCTGGCGCCTGAATAGTCAATAGAGACTTGCGAAGTGCACATTGAAAGGAACAGGAGGGATTGCGGTGGATAAAATCAGACCGAATTTCTATCAAGTTTATAATTCAGGCTAGGGTCAACCCAGTCTAGGTTCATCTTAGCCTAGGGTTAACTTAGCGTAGGGTCATCTCAGTCTAGGGTTAACTTAGCGTAGGGTCATCTCAGTCTAGGGTTAACTTAGCGTAGGGTCGTCTCAGTCTAGGGTTAACTTAGCGTAGGGTCGTCTCAGTCTAGGGTTAACTTAGCGTAGGGTCGTCTCAGCCTAGGATCATCTAAGCCTAGGATTAGCTCAATGTAGGGTCATATCAGCCTAGGGTCAAGACGATCTCTGTGTTCTAGTTTATGGATGGACTTACCAATCCATTAACCCCTCGGAAATCCCACAAGGAGTCGCTGTAGTTTAGTCTAGGAATTGCTCACCGTTTTTTTCTCACAGATAAGGCTCATCGCACGTAGCAGAACCTCTGGACCGTTGCGAGTTCCCTTATAACGAAGCATTTTTATTCATTCCCCTCTACCACCTATTCCCCCCTATTCCTTACATCAGAGCTGATGAACGTGGGGCAGAAAGCCGCAGCCCTGCAGTCCCTGCACGATCTGATCACGTCGAAGCGGTACCGCACATGGCAGAAGCCGTTGGAGCGCATCATGCTCAAGTACGTGGAGCTGTGCGTCGACATGCGCAAGGGCCGCTTCGCCAAGGACGGCCTCATCCAGTACCGCATCGCCTGCCAGCAGGTGCGTGTGACTGTCAAGGTGTTACTGTATGGAAGTGTGATGTATGGGAGTGTGACGATTGAAGGGTGACTGCGGCACCCAGGGTGTGGTTATGTCATGATCCTTGGTTTCTACCTGTGGTTCTCCGGTTTGTAACTTGCCTTTCGAAGATAGGTCACATGACTTTCCTCCTTCCCCGCCTCTCCCCCGCCCCGCCGTTCCTCTTTCCCCCAGGTGAACGTGCAATCACTCGAGGAGGTGGTGAAGTATTTCCTCAAGCTCGCCACGGAGAAGGCGGAGCAGGCGCAGGCGCAGGTGGAAGCCGCCGCGGCGGAAGCCGCGTTGGGGGAGGTGGCGGACCTGGAGGCGGAGAAGAGCCCCGAGGACCTGATGCTGGGGTTCGTGAGCGGCGACAAGGGCAAGGAGCGCACGGACAGCGAGCTCGTCACGCCCTGGTTCAAGTTCCTCTGGGAGGCCTACCGCACCGTGCTTGACGTGCTGAGGAACAACTGCAAGATGGAGGCTCTGTATGCGGTGAGTGGCCTGGTTCGTGAGAGGGGAGAAGGGCAAGGAGCGGCGAGAGGGCAAAGAGCGCACGGACAGCGAGCTCGTCACGCCCTGGTTCAAGTTCCTGTGGGAGGCCTACCGCACCGTGCTCGACGTGCTGAGGATTAACTGCAAGATGGAGGCTCTCTATGCGGTGAGTGCAGAAGGCAGTTGCTGGTTTATGAAGATCCCCTTCCGCCAAAGAAAAATCCCCTTCCTTCCCCTCTCCCTCTCCCACTTTTACCCCCCTAACCTCCCCTTTCCCCCCCTCTCTCTCGCGTCCCCCCTCTCTCCCGCACCCCCCATTCTCTCCCGCGCAACCCCCCGTCTCCCTCTCCTCTCCCCATATCAGATGACGGCGCACCGCGCGTTCGGCTTCTGCCAGCAGTACAAGCACACCAAGGAGTTCCGCCGCCTCTTTGAGATTCTCCGAAACCACCTCGTCAACCTCAACGAGTACCGCGACCAGCGCGACCGCCCCGTTCAAACCACCTTATACACACACCCTCCTTCCGTTCCCCTGTCCCCCCTCCCCTTTTCCTCCCTTCTTCTCCCCCCACCCCTCCCGCCCCTCCCACCCCCGCACAACCTTCCCCCCCTTCAAACCCCCCTCCCCCCCTTTCCGCCCCCCTCCAGATGACCGCCCACCGCGCGTTCGGCTTCTGCCAGCAGTACAAGCGCACCAACGAGTTCCGCCGCCTGTGCGAGATTCTCCGCAACCACCTCGTCAACCTCAACAAGTACCGCGACCAGCGCGACCGCCCGGACCTCTCCCTCCCGGAAACCCTCCAGCTGTACCTCGACACGCGTTTCGAGCAGCTGAAAGTGGCAACCGAGCTGGGCCTGTGGCAGGAGGCGTTCCGCTCGGTGGAGGATATCCACGGGCTCATGCTGCTGTCGAAAAAGGCGCCCAAGCCGCAGCTCATGGCGGTTTACTACGCGCGCTTGACGCGGATCTTCGCCATGGCGGCCGGGGAGGGGGATTCCGCCGGGGCGGAGGGGGGGAGCGGGGGGGGCCGCGCGAGCGGGGGCGCTGCGAACGGGAGCGCGCGGCTGTATCACGCGTACGCGTGGTATAAGTTGTACCTGCTGCAGCGGAGCTATAATAAGAATCTTAAGGATAAGGACCTGCAGCTGCTGGCGTCCGCGGTTGTGCTGTCCGCGCTCGCCGTGCCCCCGTATGAGCGGTTCGCGGGGAGCGCGGGCGCGGGGCGGGGGGGCGCGGAGGGGGAGCTGGCGCGGGAGAAGGCGGTGCGGATGGCGAACCTGCTGGGGGTAGTGGTAGATCCCAAGAAGGACCCGCGGCAGATGGTGAGCCTGGGGGAGGTGGGGGGCGGGGAGAGGGGAGGGGCGGGAATAAGGGAGGGGACGGGGAAAGGGGAGAAGGGGGGGTCGGGGGAGGGAGGGGGAAACGGGGATCGGGGTGGGGGGATGGGGGTTTTGGGGAAGGGGAGAGGGGATGGGGATGGAAAGGGTGATTTGTTCTTCCCGCTGCTGATTTTCTCCTTATCCTTAACAAATACTTGCCCCCAATCCGCTCCCATTTCGTCCCTCCCCCCCCCCCCCCCCCCCCCCCCTTCTCCCTTCCTCTCCTAACCTTAACCCTCTCCGCAACCCTCTCCCAATTTCTCTCGTTTTAAGTCTGATTCTCATTGGCCTACACCTACTTGCCGTCGTTCGTTTGAATTCGTTTGTAAGCAGTTGTATAATTTTTGTTGGAAAGCCATATCTAGTTTTGATGTGCCATTTGCCTATGTGATTCTGCCCTTGTTGTTCCTCCCTCTCCCCCCTCCCCCGCGACCCCCCCCCAACCCCTCCTTTTCCCCCCTCTTGTTCGTCCCCACCTCTGTCTTCGCATGCATCTCATTTATAAGTTCGCTAGTGCTGGCATCTGCACAGCTTTCTTTTGAGTCAACTTAGATCCCCCCCGCTTGTCTCTCCCCCTCCCTTGGCATGCCTCTCTCATTGATGGATTCGGTGGTGCTGACATCTGCAGCTCTCTCGCTCAGCTCTTCTGCAGGAGATTGTAAGTCATGTTGTCATTCCGTGTCATACCATGCCATGCTGTGCCATCCCGTCCATGCCATGCCGTGCCATGTCATCCGTGCTGTGTCATGCCATGCCATGCCATGCCATGCCATGCCATGCCACACCAAAACATGCAGGCATAGCAATAAGTGACTGCCTTCTTCGTGAAAAAAAAAACACATGTGATTTCAGGAAGGTAGGGTAACGTACATCTCTACTCATGCATGATGGGTCGAATATTGCATGGGTTGCTTCCTTCCTTCTTTCCCTTCCCCTTTGGCATCCCCATCAGACGGCCAAGGGCGTGCTGGCGTTCGTCCTCCCCCAAGTGCGCGAGCTGCACCATCTGGTCGAGGTCGACTTGCTCCCCCTCGACCTTGCCGCGCGCGTGCCATGTACCCCTGTCTCACTTGCCTCTCTTGCCTCTCTTGCCTCTCAATCCCTCTCTCCCGCCATCAGACGGCCAAGGGCGTGCTGGCGTTCGTCCTCCCCCAAGTGCGCGAGCTGCATCATCTGGTCGAAGTCGACTTCCTGCCTCTCGACCTGGCCGCGCGCGTGCACCCGCTGCTGCAGCGCCTGCCTGAGCTGAGCGACGTGAAGCTGTCCGCTGCGTGCCCCGTGCCAAAAGTCGAGCTCCAAACGTACACGCCTGCTCTGCAGCGACTGGCCACCCTGCGCGTTGTGCAGCAGGTGAGGGGTTTTACATGGGAGGGATGGGTGTGAGGGAGCTGCCCGCGTGCACCCGCTGCTGCAGCGCCTGCCCGAGCTCAGCGACGTGAAGCTGTCCGCTGCGTGCCCCGTGCCGAAAGTCGAGCTCCAGACGTACACTCCTGCTCTGCAGCGACTGGCCACTCTTCGTGTGGTGCAGCAGGTGAGGGGTTATACAGGGGAGAGATGGGTGTGAGGGAGCTGAGAGCGTGCATCCGCTGCTGCAGCGCCTGCCAGAGCTGAGCGACGTGAAGCTGCCGGCTGCCTGCCCCGTGCCCAAGGTGGAGCTGCAGTCGTACACGCCTGCTCTGCAGCGCCTGGCGACCCTGCGCGTGGTGCAGCAGGTGAGGGCAGGATGATACAAGGGAGGGATGGGGGTATGGGAGCTGCGCGCATGCACCCGCTGCTGCAGCGCTTGCCGGAACTGAGTGACGTGAAGCTGTCAGCAGCGTGCCCCGTACCAAAAGTCGAGCTCCAGACGTACATGCCTGCTCTGCAGCGACTGGCGACCCTGCTCTCTCCCCCCACCCCTCTTCCCCAGGCATCTCAAGTGTACGACGTGATGGCCATCACATCTCTCTGTCGCATGGTGCCATTCGGCGATCTCGTCTTTGTGGACCGAGTGCTGGCAGAGGCCATTGCTGAGGGCTATGTGTGTGGCCCAACCGCTTTGAGGCTCGCTCACTGGCTGCTACTGCTTCTACATGGGATTGATCGTCTCCCTCTCTCCCTCCCTCCCCTCTCCCCTCCTCTCCCCTCTCTCCCACGCTTCCTCTCATCCCTTTCAGGCATCTCAAGTGTACGATGTGATGACCGTCACGTCGCTCTGTCGCATGGTGCCGTTCGGCGATCTCGTCTTTGTGGAGCGCATGCTCGCAGAGGCCGTGGCTGAGGGCTTTGTGCACGTGCGCCTGGACTTCGTGGAGGGGACCGTCAAGTTTGGCGCTGATGTGAGTGTTGAGTGACAGGAGAAGGGGTGCGAGACAGAGAGAGGGAGAGAGCAAAAGACGAGTGTGAGAAGCGGGTGATTGTGGGTAGGAGAGGGCTTTGTGCACGTGCGCCTGGACTTCTGCGAGGGCACCGTCAAGTTTGGCGCTGACGTGAGTGGGAAGGGAGGGTGGAAGGATGAGGGTCAAGAGAAAGGGAGGGGTGTGAGGGAGGCAGGGCTTTGTGCGCGTCCCCCTGGGCTTCAGCAAGGGCACTGTGTAATCAGCTCCTGTTGCTACTTGTACAGGAGCTCGGGCCTGATCGCATCCGCAACCACCTTGGCACCATGGCTCGCCCCCTTGACCGCGCCGTGGCCCTCATTTGCTGCTCCACTGTCCCTCTCCCTTCAATTCTCCCCTTTTCCTCTCTCAACAGGAGCTCGAGTCGGATCGCATTCGCAACCACGTGGCCACCATGGCCCGCCAACTTGACCGCGCCGTTGCTCTCATCCGCCTCAAGGCAAACTCACTTTCTTATATGCTACCCTCCCACATACTCACTTCTCCTTACCCTCTTGCCCTTACCTGTTCCAACAGGAGCTCGAGTCTGATCGCATACGCAACCACCTGGCCACCATGGCCCGCCATCTCGACCGCGCAGTTGCCCTCATCCGCCTCAAGTCCCCCGCGCCTGTGGAGGAACCTGCCGAGCAGCTGCCGCCCGCGGAGGAGATCCAGGCGGCAGTGGAGAAGGAGCACCGGCGGCTGATTGCGCGAAAGACGCTGATTGAGCGGCGCAAGGAGGAGGCTGAAAGGGAGGTCATTGAGAAGGTAAGATTGGCAGGGTTCTGGGGTTAAGGTCCAGAACTTAAGGGTGAAGGGGTTAGGATGCCTGTGTTTAGGCGGCAGTGGAGAAGGAGCAGCGGCAGGTGATTGCCCGCAAGACGCTCATTGAGCGGCGCAAGGAAGAGGCTCAAAGGGAGGTCATTGAGAAGGTAAGAGGAGGTTGTAGGATAGATTTAGGATTCGGACTAAGCTTTTGAGGATCTAACGTCGGGTCAGAGTTTGCAAGGCCTAGGTATGAGAGAAGGTCTTGGTATTCGTACAATGTGGTCCATTCCCCTCTCTTTCCAGGAGCGCGAGGAGCAGACTGCGAAGCTGAAGCAGCAGCGGCTGACAGAGGAGGCGGAGGCAAAGCGGCTGGCAGCGGAGTCGGCTCGCAGGGAGGAGGAGCGCATTCGGCGGGAGATTGGTTCTGGAGACTCTTCATAAAGCATAGAGATTGGCTTGTGATTCGGCTCATTCCCTTCCCCCCCTCTTCCCCCCCCCATCCTTCTCTCCATTTCCCTTCTCCCCCCATCCTTCTCTCCATTTCCCTTCTCCCAGGAGCGTGAGGAGCAGACGGCAAAGCTGAAGCAGCAGAGGCTGACGGAGGAGGCGGAGGCAAAGCGGCTGGCAGCGGAGTCGGCTCGCAGGGAGGAGGAGCGCATTCGGCGGGAGATCGAGGCGAAGGAGCTGGAGGAGGCAAGGCAGCTGCTGCTGGAGGCAGAGAAACGCAAGGGCAAGAAGGGCAAGAAGAACCTCGAGGTGAGGCATGTGTGGGACAGGCATGAAAACGCACATATATTCAAGGTATAGGAGGGGAGTCAGGGTTCTTGTTTTGTTATCTCAGAAAGATGGGTAGGTTGCGAGTGTTGGTAGTGGGGAAGGGAGTGGTGGAGAGCGAAAGGACGAGCACAGCTTGTGAAGGAGCTGGAGGAGTCGAGGCAGCTGCTGCTGGAGGCAGAGAAGCGCAAGGGCAAGAAGGGCAAGAAGAACATTGAGGTGAGGAGGGCAGGGGTTTAGGGTTCTTGCCCTTTGGCAGGAGGATAGGTCAGGTCCCAGACGTTTGCAAGAAGGGGCGTCAGGATTTCCTGTCCCTTTTGGGGAGGATTGCGAGGGTTGGGAGAGTGGGTAGTGGAGAAGGGAGAGGGAGGAGGAGGAGCGCATTGGGCGCGAGATAGAGGCGAAGGAGCTGCTGCTGGAGGCAGAGAAGCGCAAGGGCAAGAAGGGCAAGAACATGGGGTTTAGGGTTTGTGGGGATGTGAGGGGAGTGGGGCTTGTCTGGCACATGGGCATAGTTCAAGTTCTGATGTTTCAGAAGGGAGGGTCGAGGTTTTTGTCGCCCTTCCTTTCTGACTTCGATTAGTGCCAGTTTTTGCCTTATGAGGACACGATGTGGGTGGACAAGGGGAGGAGAGTAGGTGAGTGAGTTGACTCACCGCCCCAGTTCCCCTTCTTCTCTTCTTCCCCTTCTGCCCCCTCTTGTTTGCTGCTCATTTTCGCCGGAGCAGGACACGATGCGGCTAGACAAGAGGCTGCTGATGGAGGAGAGGAGGAGGCATGCGCTGACTCACTCCATCCATGCTCCCGCTTCTTCTTGGTCTTGTGTGCCTTGTTTGCCGCCCCTTTTTTGCCGTGAGCAGGACACGATGCGGTTGGACAAGAGGCAGCTGATGGAGGAGGCGCTCTCAGAGCAGCTCAAGGAGAAGCAGGAGGCGGAGCGGCGCCTGCAGAAGCTGGTGAGTGAGAGAGAGATGCGATGTGCTTTGGTGTACTGTGACGTGAGGGTCGGGTTGACCTCTGGTCTGATTGCTGCCAGTCTGGTTTGCCTGAGTGTGGCTTTGGTTGGAGGTGCCTCGCTCTCAGAGCAGCTCAAGCAGAAGCAGGAGGCAGAGAGGCACCTGCAGAAGCTGGTGAGTTAAGGAAGAGTATTGTGGTGGTCGTGTTCACGCTAGGGCTTGCATGGTAGCCGGAGGTGGAGCTGGTGGAGTGATTGTGAGGCTCTAATGCTGCCTTTTTCGGGTCAGATCCCTCTCTCGTGCCCTTCTGCTGCTCTTCTGTTAGGTAACGCTAATCGTCTCGCCCCCTTCCACCCTGTTTCCTGTTGCCCCCGGACCAAGGCGCGCCCCCGGACCAAGGCGCGCCCCCGGACCAAGGCGCGCCCCCGGACCAAGGCGCGCCCCCGGACCAAGGCGCGCCCCCGGACCAAGGCGCGCCCCCGGACCAAGGCGCGCCCCCGGACCAAGGCGCGCCCCCGGACCAAGGCGCGCCCCCGGACCAAGGCGCGCCCCCGGACCAAGGCGCGCCCCCGGACCAAGGCGCGCCCCCGGACCAAGGCGCGCCCCCGGACCAAGGCGCGCCCCCGGACCAAGGCGCGCCCCCGGACCAAGGCGCGCCCCCGGACCAAGGCGCGCCCCCGGACCAAGGCGCGCCCCCGGACCAAGGCGCGCCCCCGGACCAAGGCGCGCCCCCGGACCAAGGCGCGCCCCCGGACCAAGGCGCGCCCCCGGACCAAGGCGCGCCCCCGGACCAAGGCGCGCCCCCGGACCAAGGCGCGCCCCCGGACCAAGGCGCGCCCCCGGACCAAGGCGCGCCCCCGGACCAAGGCGCGCCCCCGGACCAAGGCGCGCCCCCGGACCAAGGCGCGCCCCCGGACCAAGGCGCGCCCCCGGACCAAGGCGCGCCCCCGGACCAAGGCGCGCCCCCGGACCGAGGCGTGCCCCCGGACCGAGGCGCGCCCCCGGACCGAGGCGCCCACCCGGACCGAGGCGCCCCCCCGGACCGAGGCGCGCCCCCGGACCACGGCGCGCCCCCGGACCAAGGCGCGCCCCCGGACCATCCCCCCTCCCCTCCTCCTCCCCCTGCCTTTCCCATCCCCCCTCATCCCCATTCCTTCCCCTCCCAGGTGCGCACATTGGATCACCTGGAGAGGGCGCGCAGGGAGGAGGAGAAACCCCTTCTTGAAGCAGCGTAACAGCAGAGGCTGGTGGAGGAGCGGGCGTGGTTCGATCAGCAGCAGGGGCTAACGATCCCCGTTTTCCCCTCTTTCCACTTCCTCTTTCCTCAACCTCCCCCCTTCCCATTCCCCTCTTCCCCTCAGGTGCGCACATTGGATCACCTGGAGCGGGCGCGCAGGGAGGAGGAGAAGCCCCTTCTCGAGGCAGCGTACCAGCAGAGGCTGGTGGAGGAGCGGGCGTGGTTCGAGCAGCAGCAGGCAGAGGCAGCTGCGCAGAGCAAGACACAGCACGAGCAGGACCTGGCTGAGAAGATTCGGCTGTCCCGCATGCTGGGGGATAAGGTGAGTTGAGGGAAGGACGGAAGGGGGATGGGAAACGGGAGACAGGGGTGGGGGGGGTGGGAAACGGGAGACAGGGGACGGGGGAGGGCAGAGGCAGATAGGGTTAGTGGGAGGGATGAGCAAGGCACAGCACGAGCTCGACATGCATGCTGGGGGATTAGGTATGGAAGTAAGGAAAAGCGCAGGGGGCAGGGGGTGGGGCGAAGTTAGTGACTTTCAGTGTCACGCATGCCCCAGCCGGCCTGCGGTACTGATCTGTTGCCTGTGCTCACTGTTCTGCCTCTCAGGAGGAGTTCCAGGAGCAGGTTGTGGGGCGACGCAGCGGCAAGTTTGAGCGGCTGAAGAGGGAGAGGGAGGAGAAGCTGGCAGAGCTGAGGGAGCTGCTGGTGACGACTTTTGAAGCGCCTCAAAAGCTGCTGGTGTTGGGGGGGCAGTGGGCTTTGGAATCGTCATTCTCGCTTTTCTTGTCCTTCCTTCCCACCCTGTTTACCATCTGTGCCTCTCAGGAGGAGTTCCAGGAGCAAGTTGTGGGGAGGCGCCGCGGCGAGTTTGAGCGGCTGAAGCGGGAGAGGGAGGAGAAGCTGGCAGAGCTGAGGGAGCTGAGGCGCACGGAGAGGGTGATGCTGCGGAAGAGGGAGATGTTCCGCCGCCAGGAGGAGGCCAAGGCACTCAAGGCCTGGGAGGAGGCTGAGAGGCGCAAGAGGGAAGGTGCGTGGCCGTTCTCTTTGCAATTTCTCCCACTCCTTCCCTCTCTTTCTCACGCGGTTGGGCACTGAGTGAATGAGAGGGGCAGAGCTGAGGGAGCTGAGGCGCACGGAGAGGGTGATGCTGAGGAAGAGGGAGATGTTCCGCCGCCAGGAGGAGGCCAAAACCGCTCAAGGCCTGGGAGGAGGCTGAGAGGCGCAAGAGGGAAGGTGAGGGCAGGTTCTCTCTGTCTTCTTGTTTCCCTCCCTTCTCCATCCGGTTCCCATCCCCTCGTCATACCCTCCCCATTCGTTCCCTTCCCATCCCATCCGATCCTCTCCCATCCCCTCTCCATCTCCTTTCATCCCCTCCATAACCACTCACTCCTTTCCGTGCATCCCTTCTGCATTCTCCCTTCACCCCTCGATCCACCAGAGTTGGAGCGAAAGCGCAAGGAGGAGGAGAGGCTGAGGAAGCTGGAGGAGATGGCAGCGAAGCAGCGCCAGAGGGAGCAGGAGGCGGAGGAGAAGGCCCGCAAGGAGCGCGAGGAGAGCTCTTTTCAACCCTGCTCACTCCCTTGCATGCATCCCACCTGCCTTCCCTCCGCGGTCCCTCTCCGTACCCTCCCCATTCCCGCTCCCTTCCCTCTCCTTCCCCTCTGCCTTCTCCCTTGATACCAACACACCAGAGCTGGAGCGCAAGCGCAAGGAGGAGGAGGAGAGGCTGAGGAAACTTGAGGAGATGGCAGCGAAGCAGCGCCAGAGGGAGCAGGAGGCAGAGGAGAAGGCCCGCAAGGAGCGCGAAGAGCTTCTCGCCGCTGCTGCCGAGCGCAAGACCTCCGCTTTTGTCCCGCCGGCCCTCCGAGCCCGCGCCGGAGGCTCGGCAGCCGGCGAGGCTCCACCGTCCGGACGTGCAGGTGCGGAAGAGGATCGGTGGTCCAGGGACAGGGCTCCCGCTGCTAGTGCTGCTTCTACTGGGGCGCCTGGGAAATACGTTCCGCCTGTTAGGGCTAGTGCGGGTGCAGCAGGGGCAGGAGGAGCGGGAGACGGGGGAAGGTGGGGCGGGGATCGTGGGCGGGAGGGGGAAGACAGCGGTGCATTTGGCAGGAGGTCGGCTAGGTATGAGCCTCCTCGTAGCGCTGCTGCTTCCGGTGGTGGTGCCGGTGAGAGGGAGAGGGAGAGGGAGAGGACGAGTGCCCCTGTGGCAGCGGCACCAGCAGCTCCAGCAGCAGCAGCAGCAGAAGCAGCGCCGGCGGCGGGTGCATCCAAGAAGTGGGTCCCGCCTCATCTCAGGAACCGCGGGTGAAATCGCTGAGAGGAAAATTGCAGGTGGTAGAATGGTGGAGAGGAGCTCGGGCTGGCGATCAGCTGCTTGCCTCCGCGCGTCAGGATTGCGGGTGATATGGGTGAGAAGGTAACTGTTTCCATGTTTTTCTGTATGGCTGTGTGAACATGGAATGTGAGGCGACGCTGAACAACATACCGTACACTAGGACTTGCTCTCCTCTCCCAGCACTCACGAGTCTTGAAACTCCACATGTCTGTTCGCCTTTCCTGGTGATGGCTAAACTTGAGTGTTGTTACTGTTTCTATTGTATGTAATGTAAAAGGCTTCAGCATTCCTTCACAGTGTCATGCATGCCTGCGTTCTTGGTGAACAATGAAACTAGTTAGACGAGGGATGAAAGAATCTGTAACGACAACACTAATAACGAATTCGCTTCAAGAGGGTTCAACGAATCAGGGTTCGACAACAGCCTTCACCATCTCCTCTTTCGTCACCCCATCCATCCCCGATCCCGAACCTTCGTCCCCATGCCACCGCTCCTTCGCCAGCAACGCGCCTCGGCTATCCGCATCGAACGCTTCGATCAAATCCAGAACCTCCTTTGCCGTGCGGCCCGACATCACGATGCTGCGATTCGTCGCGCTCACGAACCCGTCCTGCGCGGCGCGGTCGAAAAAGGCGAGCAGCGAGTCAAAGTAGCCATTGGCGTTGAGCACGGCGATTGGCTTGTCGTGAATGCCCAGCTGCGACCAGGTTACCATCTCTAGAAGCTCCTCGAGTGTGCCGTACCCACCTGTATGGGGGTGTGCGGTGGGCCGGGGATGGGAGAAGATGGGGAGAGCGGGTGAAGGGGGGCGGAATAGGGAGAACGCCCCATTAAAACCGAAGTAGCCATTGGCGTTGAGCACGGCGATGGGCTTGTCGTGAATGCCCAGCTGCGACCACGTTACCATCTCCAATAGCTCCTCTAGCGTGCCGTACCCACCTGTAGGGGTGTCGTGGAATCGAAGGTGGAGGGGGAGAGGGAAGACGGGAAGGCGGGGAGGAGGTAAGGGGCGTAGAGGACGGGGATACAACTTCAATGGGGGCGGGGTGAGGGTGCGGGTTTGAGTTGTGTCTGTGTCTAGCGGAAGAAACGGTAACGAGTCACGACCATGACGACGTTGAGCTGAGTTGACAGAGCAGTGGCGATCGTTGCTGACCTGGCAGAGCGATAAACGCGTCAGCTGCTTTCGCCATCTCCGCCTTTCGCTCGTGCATGTTTCGCACCAATCGCACCTCGCCAACGGACGGCCCAGATACCTCCAGAGGCACGAGCGCATGGGGAATTACCCCTAGCACATTCCGCCCGTTTTCGTGCACCGTTCGCGCGACTATACCCATCAGGCCTATGCTACCTGACCCGTACACTAAATCGAAACCCCGGGCCGCGATTTCCCGGCCGAGCTCCGCTGCCGCTTCGCCATAGACGGGATTGGTGCCGGAGCTCGAGCCGCAATAGACGCATATTCTCCGGATCTTACTCGGCCCGTCCTCCATAATGCCACTGCCACGGAATGGGACCAGTACGTGGCGCGGAAAATCGCGTCTCATGCGGAAGCAGAAATACGTGTCTTCGACGTTTTTGCTGCTTTCGAGCCGCAGCGATAACGAATTGGTCGAGCTTCTTGATTTACGGGTTTGCGGAAGAAATCAGGGCGAGCAGACTCCCGAATTTTCTGGAACCAACAGGACGAGAGACCTCTCAACAATGAGAGAGAGGTTGAAACTCATTTCTAACGATGAGAGAGGTTATTTACTTCGTTGGACGGAGCGAGTTGAAACTCACAATCGCGTATGTTCCGAACCGAAGAAAGGGGGAGCTGCTTCTGAATTCCAGAATTGTTGAGCTGGCGGTGACTCAGCTAACCGACTTGGAGTTCGCATCTAAGCGTGACGTGGAAAAGCTGGTACTTGGTGCGTTTTGCAAACGCTTAGCGCTTCCGCGTAAAAAAGTCCCATTCTCCAACCTCGCACTTAGCAAGGACTCTCTATTACTGGGTGTAGCAACGCCTGGTGGCGTCGCAGAAACGCGCGTCAACAGCAACAGCCAAGGTTTGGCGGCAGGCGCGAAAATGTATTTCGAAATCGGACTGACATATCACGTCAATAGCCCACCTGCCTCCCCCCTCACCTCGATTGTATCCCAAATTCCTCCGTCGCCTCAACATCTGACCATTTTCTGCCACTCATGGATTCCCAGCAGAGTTGTGACCTCTTCTTCCTAAAAATCTTTAGGAAGTGCACTTGATCTTGTCACCTCACGCAGTAGGCCCCGCAGGACACGCGAAACGCGCTTATTGCGATCCGCGTCGCGTGAATCTGTAATCCGGGTACGAATCCGGAAATCCAGTCCAATAGTTCCACATCTTCATGTGGGCTAAGCTGCTCGAGCGATTTCGCTCAGACGGGCACTTCGTTTAGCAAGCACACAGACCATCACCCTCTGTGTCTGTCAGCGTTCCCTCCGCGATTCCCTCCCTTGAGCCTCTCAGCCTTCGCAGTCATAGTGTCAATCGCAGCTCTGGTGACCATGGCGGCGTCAGCAGCTCTCTCCACGGCGAGTATCGCTTCTCAGGAAGGACTCGGCGCACCCTCCCAGCTCCGTATAAGCCTTTCCGCCTGTCGCACGCACCACTATCTTCAACTAGGTCCCGCTCGACCGGCGACGTTGAAAAGGTCGTCTAATTTCGCCAGCGGAAGAGCTGGGAGCGACGCGTTTGTCAGGAATGGCAGTGGCGCATTCTCCTGTAGAAATCCCGTCTCTTCCGCTAGAACGATCAAGAGCCTGGTGCTAGAGAGAGGGCGTCTCTCGTCGATTGTAAAGCGCGAGATAGTAATACCCTCCCCATGGAAGAGAGGGTACAGCCACTCCGAATTTCACAGACCTTCAAGTTCAAAGCTCCGTTCAAACTCGCGGAATTTCGTGATCGCATCAGATTCTGCGAATTCCGGCGAAATCGCTCATCCTGACCAGATTTCGGCAGCAACGGCGTCCGCGCCAGAGGGGGAAATCCTGCCTTCACCAAATGCCACCTCCCTGTCGTCCCCCGCGTTCGTGGTGTGGGGCGCAAACACAGGCGTGGGGAAGACCCTCGTTTCCGCGGGGCTTGCTGTCGCGCTGCTTGCGCGAGCTGCGCGGAGGGGGGGCGCGGAAGCGGGTGGGGGAGGTGAAACGGACGCAGCGGATGGGGAAAGGGGCGTGCAGGGGAAAACTGCCGTGAATTGCGGCGGATTCCATTTGGAGTATGTGAAACCGCTGCAGACAGGGTACCCTGAAGGTGAGCTCATAGTGACTTTATGGCCTCAAACAATTTCCGTTCCATCCTCTCACACCCCTGCCTTGAGGTTGCCCTTGCGTATATAGAACGACTTTCAAAGTGCCTCAGAACGTTTGAAGCGCCTCAAAACTTCCCTGCCTTGCGCGTCTCCCTGTGTGAATGGAGCACATGTCCAGATTCGGATGCTCGCCTGGTGATGCTGGCTGCTGCACACTGCGTTGGCAGCAGCGGCAGCTGCAGCGGTGGCAGTGACGTCAGCACAAATGCCACCACCACCGGCAATAATAGCAGCAGCAGCAGCAGCAGCAGCAGCAGCAGCAGCAGCAGTGATGATAGTGCTGGCAGCACAACTACATCCCACTCTTCGTCCCTGCAGTTCACTCTTCATTCTCCTAACTACTCTGACGCCCCCTCCACTCACACCATCTCTTCTCACTCTCCCTCGTCCTCTGCAGTAGCACAATCCCCTTCGCATAATCACCCCTCGTTACAGTCACACAGCCCCCCAGTCTCGCTCACCTGTTCTACTCTCTGGGCCTGGAAGGACCCGGTTTCTCCCCACCTGGCTGCCCGGGAAAGCCGGGCAGCTGTGCTAAGACTTCCAGACAGAGGAGAGGGAGGAGGGGGAGCGGAAGCAGGGGAGGAGAGGGGGGAAGGGACAGGGGAAGAGGTGGCAGATTCTGTTGTGGTGGACGCTGTTAGATCGTATGTCAGTTGCGGTAGGAGCAGCAGCAAAAGCGACAGCAAGGCCAATGACAGAAGCAGCAGCAGCAGCAGTAGCGGTGGCAATGATACAAGCAGCAGTGGTAGATGGGTTCTGATCGAGACAGCTGGGGGCGTGGCAAGCCCGGGGCCCTCGGGAACCCTACAGGCTGATTTGTACAGGTGGGTGGGAAACGCCTTCTTCCCTCGTCCTTTACATCATCACCAGTACCAGCTCGTACAATCTGACAACTGTTTGAGAAGCTGACATCCTCGCAACTAGACTGAAGCCCCTCTCTTGCGGTTTCATCGCTCTTGTCCTCTTCAATAAGCATAGCATTCTAGCCGACCATCTCTTGTGGTCATACTGTTATGGTTATGTCCAGCCATTAGTGGTCTTTCCCCCCATCCCACTTTTATATCCCTCCATCCCTCCAACCCGTCTCTCTCTTCTTTTCCCCGTCCCTACATTCCTTCCTCCCATCTCTCCCCGCTTTCCCCATCTCTCCCCGCTTTCCCCCTCTCTCCCCGCTTTCCCCCATCTCTCCCCGCTTTCCCCCATCTCTCCCCGCTTTCCCCCATCTCTCCCCGCTTTCCCCCATCTCTCCCCGCTTTCCCCCATCTCTCCCCGCTTTCCCCCATCTCTCCCCGCTTTCCCCCATCTCTCCCCGCTTTCCCCCATCTCTCCCCGCTTTCCCCCATCTCTCCCCGCTTTCCCCCATCTCTCCCCGCTTTCCCCCATCTCTCCCCGCTTTCCCCCATCTCTCCCCGCTTTCCCCCATCTCTCCCCGCTTTCCCCCATCTCTCCCCGCTTTCCCCCATCTCTCCCCGCTTTCCCCCATCTCTCCCCGCTTTCCCCCATCTCTCCCCGCTTTCCCCCATCTCTCCCCGCTTTCCCCCATCTCTCCCCGCTTTCCCCCATCTCTCCCCGCTTTCCCCCATCTCTCCCCGCTTTCCCCCATCTCTCCCCGCTTTCCCCCATCTCTCCCCTTTTTTCCCCCATCTCTCCCCGCTTTCCCCCATCTCTCCCCGCTTTCCCCCATCTCTCCCCGCTTTCCCCCATCTCTCCCCGCTTTCCCCCATCTCTCCCCGCTTTCCCCCATCTCTCCCCCTTTCCCCCATCTCTCCCCGCTTTCCCCCATCTCTCCCCGCTTTCCCCCATCTCTCCCCGCTTTCCCCCATCTCTCCCCGCTCTTTCCCCCATCTCTCCCCGCTTTCCCCCATCTCTCCCCGCTTTCCCCCATCTCTCCCCGCTTTCCCCCATCTCTCCCCGCTTTCCCCCATCTCTCCCCGCTTTCCCCCATCTCTCCCCGCTTTCCCCCATCTCTCCCCGCTTTCCCCCATCTCTCCCCGCTTTCCCCCATCTCTCCCCGCTTTCCCCCATCTCTCCCCGCTTTCCCCCATCTCTCCCCGCTTTCCCCCATCTCTCCCCGCTTTCCCCCATCTCTCCCCGCTTTCCCCCATCTCTCCCCGCTTTCCCCCATCTCTCCCCGCTTTCCCCCATCTCTCCCCGCTTTCCCCCATCTCTCCCCGCTTTCCCCCATCTCTCCCCGCTTTCCCCCATCTCTCCCATCTCTCCCCGAACTCTCGCCAAATTCCCCCATCCCTTCCCCCATTCCGCGCCAGACCCCTGCGCCTGCCTTGTATTCTAGTGGGAGACGGGCGGCTGGGCGGCATCTCGGTCACTGTAGCAGCAGTTGACAGCCTGGCAGGGCGGGGGTATGACGTGGCAGCGGTGGTGCTGTGTCAGGACGAGGAGGGACGACTTGATAACGCAGATTATCTAAAGTCGTATTTAAGACCAAGAGGGTGAGTGGGTGGAAGAGAGCAAGAAAAAGGAGAGAGGGATGGGAAGGGAGGCGTTAGGTAGGGGTGGTTGAGGGGAAAAGAGGGGGCTTGAGGGCGTAAGAGTTGGAAAGGGGAGAAGGAGGGGTGAGATTTTTTTTATGGCAGGTAAGAACCAGAGAAAGAAGTAGCGTCTTCTTGCATTCTGCCTTCCCTGTTTTCCACCCAATCTTTCTTCCTCCCACTCTCTCTCCTTCCCGTTGCAGGATTCCAGTCATCACCCTGCCTGCTCTGCCATCCCCACCACCCGTTTCTGACCCAAGCCCACCCTCCTCCTCCCCCTTCTCATCATCCTCCTCCTCCTTCTCCTCCCCCTCTCTCACCTCCTCTCCCTCCTCAAGTCCCGCTACCGATTTCCAATCCTCCTCTTACTCCACACTCAACCCGAACCTCATCGACTGGCTCGGCAAATCGGAAGGAAGCTTCCAGGAACTTGTGCAAGTGTTGGAACAGTACCACGGGAAGAGGTTGCGGGCACTGGAACGGGCAGCTGAACGGGCACACGAAACTCTCTGGTGGCCGTTCACCCAGCATGGCATGGTGGGAGTAAAGGACGTGACAGTCATCGATTCCCGGGCAGGCGAAAACTTTTCCGTCTTCCGACCGAACCAGACCGAAAACCTGTCGGAGGCTCGGGCCGAGCCTGGGAGGGAGGTTCGGGAAGAGGCTCGGTTGGAGGAGTGGTTTGATGGGTGTGCGAGCTGGTGGACCCAGGGGCTGGGCCCTGTGTTGCAGGGGGAGCTATCGAGGGAGATAGGGGCGGCCATGGCTCGATACGGGCATGTCATGTTCCCTGAGAACACTCATGCACTGGCTCTTGAGGCTGCTGAACTGTTACTGCAGGGCGTCGGGAAAGGTATGAAGCGGTTGGGAAAGGTAGAAAACGGTAGGGAAAGATAGAGAACGGTTGGGAACGGTACCGTGGGATTGAGAATGGTACACATGGGTTCGGACGAGGTTGCGAGCTGGTGGACCCAGGGGCTGGGCGCTGTGGTGCAGGGGGAACTATCGAGGGAGATAGGGGCGGCCATGGCTCGATGTGGGCATGTCATGTTCCCTGAGAACAGCCATGCGTTGGCTCTGGAGGCTGCTGAACTGCTGTTGAAGGGCGTGGGGAAAGGTACGAAGTGGTTGGGAAAGGTAGGAAACGGTTGGAAACGGTTACACGGGGTTAGGAACGGTACACATGGGTTCAGACGAGGTTGCGAGCTGGTGGACCCAGGGGCTGGGCGCTGTGGTGCAGGGGGAGTTATCGAGGGAGATAGGGGCGGCCATGGCTCGATATGGGCATGTCATGTTCCCTGAGAACACTCACCCGCTGGCACTTGAGGCTGCTGAACTGCTACTAAAGGGCGTTGGGAGAGGTAGGAAGGCATTGAGAGTGGTAGGAAGCGGTTGGGAAAGATAGGACGGGGTTGGGAATGGGTAAGCATGGGTTCTCCTATGGGTGTGCAAGTTGGTGGACCCAGAGGCTGGGCCCTGAGAATGCGCATGCACTGGCTCTGGAAGCTGCTGAACTGCTGCTGAAGGGCGTTGGGAAAGGTATGAAGCGGTTGGGAATGGTAAGAAGGGGCTGGAAGGGGTGTGCATGAGAGTGGGTGGGCGTGCATGGCATGATGGTTCCACACAGCCATTGAGGTTGCTCGCAAATGAATCGACCTATCAGCACCCCCTTGCACCCTATCTCACCTCACAACGCCCCACTCCAACCCACTCCACCCCACTCCACCCCACTCCAACCCTCTCCACCCCACTCCACCCCACTCCACCCCACTCCACCACACTCCACCGCACAGGATGGGCCTCTCGAGTGTTCTTCTCAGACAACGGGTCCACAGCCATTGAGGTGGCGCTCAAGATGGCCTTCCGCTCCTTCTGCACTCGAAATGGCGTGGGATCCGATGGTCCTCCAGATCTTAAGGTGCGTCCCATTGAGGTGAATTTTGATTCAAGTCAAACGTCTTTTGAAGGTGCGTTGCATGGTGACTTGTGAGGAGATTTGGGGTTGAATTTTCGACAGCAGTTGACGTTCGGACAGTAGCACGGGTGATTATCCCTTTCCAGGTGCCTCCTATGCTCGTAAGGGCGTATTCCTGACTTCGTGTCAAGAACGTGTTTGTGTCAACCTAGAACTTTGGAACGCACGTGTAAAAGGCCAATCGCGTGAGTTCCAAAGTTTTCGGACGACACCATCCTAGCTTGACACGAAGCTAGGAATACGCCCTAACGCCATGTGCCATGCTCGTGTCAACACGTGCCATACTTACTATGATGACATGTGATGTGAGTATGCGGCACTAGACCTTATGCTCGTGTCTCATCACTTGTTGCAGAGCCTTGATTCGTTCTAGCACTTTCTATTCCTTCCTTGCCATGCCACGTGTCACCAGGTGATTGCACTGACTGGATCTTACCACGGTGACACGCTGGCAGCCATGCATGCCCAGTCACCCTCCCCATACACCTCCTTCCAGCAGCAGCCATGGTGAGAGATTGCCACGTCAGCAGTTGTTGTGTGTGCCATGTCATGAACCGCCGTGAACGGTAGGTTGAATCACAAAACTTGCCTTTTTTTCTGTTTTGGCTCTCCATGATGGCATGGGTACACAGGGAGAGTTTCTCTACTAGATTCCCCGTGCTAGACAAAAACACAAACAAACAAAATAATGTACTTTGATTCTCCCATGTCCCACCCCACAGGTACGGAGGCAAGGGCGTGTTCCTTGACCCGCCAACAGTGGAGTATTCCCAAGGTCAATGGCTCGTTGTCCTGCCTCCCACCCTCTCCTCCTCCTCCTCCTCCTCCTCCCCCTCCCACCACCCACCTCTCCTTTCAATCACGCTCAGCGGTATTCCACAGGGAAAGGGGCGCCTCCTCTCTCACCCCCATCTATCATGATTACATCCAACAACAGCTTCAGCCCTTCCTCCTCACCTCAGACTCCTCCTCAGGTGGCCCTTCAGGTGGTTTTTCAGGTGCCATGGCCGCCGCACTCATCATCGAACCAGGTGCGTATGCGGTATTCACTCAATTTGGAAGTCAGGATTGTGGATGCATGCAGTACAGTACACTGCCAGGTCCCGTCCTGTTGCGTTGTGTGAGGCGCTTTAGGCCCTTTCCACCCTCCCTCCCCCCCCCCCCCCTTTCTCCCCCCCCCCCCCCCTTTCTCCCCCGCCCCTTTCTCCCCCCCCGCTTTCTCCCCCACCCCTTTCTCCCCCCCCGCTTTCTCCCCCACCCCTTTCTCCCCCCCCGCTTTCTCCCCCACCCCTTTCTCCCCCCCCGCTTTCTCCCCCACCCCTTTCTCCCCCCCCGCTTTCTCCCCCACCCCTTTCTCCCCCCCCGCTTTCTCCCCCACCCCTTTCTCCCCCCCCGCTTTCTCCCCCACCCCTTTCTCCCCCCCCGCTTTCTCCCCCACCCCTTTCTCCCCCCCGCTTTCTCCCCCACCCCTTTCTCCCCCCCCGCTTTCTCCCCCCACCCCTTTCTCCCCCCCCCGCTTTCTCCCCCACCCCTTTCTCTCCCCCCCGCTTTCTCCCCCACCCCTTTCTCCCCCCCCGCTTTCTCCCCCACCCCTTTCTCCCCCCCCCTTTCTCCCCCACCCCTTTCTCCCCCCCCCTTTCTCTCCCCCACCCCTTTCTCCCCCCCCCTTTCTCCCCCCCCCTTTCTTTCTCCCCCCCCCTTTCTCCCCCACCCCTTTCTCCCCCCCCGCTTTCTCCCCCACCCCTTTCTCCCCCCCACACATTCGCGCATGCACACAGTGCTGCACGGGGCGGGAGGCATGGTCATGATCGACCCGCTCTTCCAGCGCACACTCGTCTCCTTCTGTCGTTCTCGCGCCATCCCAGTCATCTTTGACGAGGTCTTTGCTGGCTGCTGGCGCCTCGGCACGCAGGTGGGGTGGGGTGGGGTGGGGTGGGGTGGGGTGGGGTGGGGTGGGATGGTTCCCATGATGGGAGGAGGAGGGTAGGGGGAGCATGCTCCTTATATTACCCTTCTCCTTCTGCCACACCCACGCAATGCCATCCCAGTCATCTTTAACAAGGTCTTTGCTGGCTGCTGGCACCTCGGTTCCCAACTCAAAAATTACTTTTGTCCTTCCCATTCTCAACCCCTATTCCCCGTCTCCCTCTCCCTTCCTTTCCCTCGTCTCCCTTTCACTCCCCCTCCCACCCGTCCTCCCTTCTCCCTTCTACCCCTCCTCCCTTCTCCTTCCCACCCGTCCTGCCCTCTCCCAGTCAGCAGCAGAGCTACTGGGCTGTTCCCCGGACATAGCCTGCTATGCCAAGCTGCTGACAGGTGGCATGATCCCATTGGCCGTCACTCTCGCCTCGTCCTCTGTCTTTGATGCCTTCTATGGCTCCTCCAAGGTAATTCCTTAACCTGTCTGCTTTCAATTGGTATTTTTCTGTCAAAACGTCATATAACTCCCAACGCCAACCTGTCAGCCTGTCAATTTATCTCTCAACGCTTCCTTCCCACTCCTCCCCTCACAAGCATCTGCCTCTTCTCTCCTTCGTTCTTCCCAGCTTGATGCTCTCTTGCACGGTCACTCCTACGCTGTGCTGCAGCCTCTGTGGTGCTCATGCCTCAATCCCTTTCCTTCACCGTTTCTCTTCCTCCATTCTCCCCTTCCTCCCCATTCTCACCCTAACTTCATTACAGCTCGATGCTCTGCTGCATGGTCACTCCTACACTGCCCACCCTGCTGGCTGTGCTGCGGCCTGTGTTTCTCTCAAAGCACTTTCAGACCCAGCTCGCAACCCCAACCTCCTTCCCGACGGCTCTCAGCTAAAAGAGGTACTTTAACCCACAGCCTGCAACCTACTTAGCACATTGCGCTGTTCACTCTGCCTCTTTGAATATGACTTTTCCTACATGTTGACATCGTGAAATCATATACTTCAACAGTTCTTATGCTGTCGTCCATGATACCTTCCGCGTGATTTTTGAGAATTCTCAAAAATCTCGTCCATGATACCTCCACGCGCAAGCACAACATATCAACTTCAAGGTGTCATCCCTAAGAGTTGCTGTCATATACTGGAACCATGACACCTACTTGGTGCTCTATTGGACATGTTGACATCGTAAAATCACACTTCAACTTATGAGGCGCCTCAAAAGTGCTCTATTGGACATGATACCTTCACAACACGTAATTTTTCTAGATTCTCAAAAGCATGTTCTTACCTGACCGAGTTTAATGATTCCTTGCCGACGCACCTACAATCCTCAACGTCGTCCTCTGTGGGGGATTGAGCAACTTCTGAAACACCCAACGTCCTGTGTCCCTCTCATCCTTTCTCTCATTCCATCCCATAGTTGTGGGACCCCTCGTTAGTGGAGCAGGTCCCCTGCCCCCCCTCGATACAGCATGTTCTCTCTACAGGAACACCAACCAGGCACCCTTCTGTCTCTCCTTCCCTTCACTCCCATTACCCTTTCTCCCACATTGCCTTTCTCTCCCACCACCTGGCAGTTGTGGGACCCCTCGTTAGTGGAACAAATCTCCTGTCACCCCTCGATACAGCGCGTGCTGGCTATAGGAACAGTCTTTGTGGCCGAGCTCAGGACAGATGGGGCCGGGTGAGTGGTTCTGGAAATGCTTGTACTACAATGATTGAGCTATTTCCAGAAATCTTCACTTGTAGGGAACAGTCTTTGGGCATGAGACAGACGGCGCCAGGTGAGTGTGCTGGGATGGCCTCCGCTGTGAATTGTTGGTTGGTCGCTGGTCATTGGAATCTTCTGTAACCTGGAAGAACTTTTTGCAGATTTTTGCAGACTTTGCTATGAATGATAGGGTGCTGCTCAGTGGAATCAGCTTGGGCAATTGTCTGAAAGAGTTTTGGTTCAGTGCTTTGTTGCTTACCTGTTCCCTTTGCTATTCCTTCGCTTCCCCCCACAGATATGGGTCATCAGCAGCCAAGGGACTCCTGACACGGCTGAGGCAGCATGGCATGTACGCACGGCCACTGGGCAATGATCTGTATTCGTTCGAAGTCATGACTAATCCCTGTTTCACTCCTCTGTTCCCCCTTCCCCACCCCCCACAGGTACGGCTCGTCAGCAGCCAAGGGGCTCTTATCACGGCTGAGGCAGCATGGCATATACGCACGGCCACTGGGGAACGTGGTGTATTTCATGTGTGGGCCCTTCTATCTCACTCATGCTCTCTGCTCTCCCTCCTCTCTTCCCCCACACAGCTACGGCTCGTCAGCAGCCAAGGGGCTCTTATCACGGCTGAGGCACCATGGCATATACGCACGGCCGCTGGGCAACGTGGTCTATTTCATGTGTGGGCCCTTCTATCTCACTCATGCTCTCTGCTCTCCCTCCTCTCTTCCCCCACACAGCTACGGCTCGTCAGCAGCCAAGGGGCTCTTATCACGGCTGAGGCACCATGGCATATACGCACGGCCACTGGGGAACGTGGTCTATTTCATGTGTGGGCCCTTCTATCTCACTCATGCTCTCTGCTCTCCCTCCTCTCTTCCCCCACACAGCTACGGCTCGTCAGCAGCCAAGGGGCTCTTATCACGGCTGAGGCACCATGGCATATACGCACGGCCGCTGGGCAACGTGGTTTATTTCATGTGTGGGCCCTACACGCCCCCCTCCACCTGCTCCCGGTTGCTTCGGATTCTGCTAGCACTGCTTGATTAACAGATGCTGCAGCATCCCTCTAATGGCCGCTGGGCAACGTGGTTTATTTCATGTGTGGGCCCTACACGCCCCCCTCCACATGTCCGCCTGCTCCGCATCCTTATAGCCCTGCTTGATTAGAAGCACACTCGGTGTGTAGCATTGCAAACTGCAACCAGGGGAGGCCCTCCAGTACAGTCGCTGGCCAACGTGGTCTAGTCTATCTCATGTCTGTTCCCTTCACGCCCCCCTCCACCTGCTCCCGCCTGCTGCGAGTTCTCTTAGCCCTGCTTGAATGATTTTATTAGAACCACATACCGTACCAATGCTGTAACATATTCCGCCCAAGGGGCTCCTTCCACTCGATTAGGGCCACTGGTCAACGTGGCCAACACTCCCTGGTCTACGTGGCACTCCCTGATCAACGTGGTCAACGTGCCCTGCCCAACGTCCCTGTCCACCTTCCCCCAATATGTGGTTTCTGCTGGCACTGCTGCAAGAGAGGCACCCACCCACCCCGCGTATCCTGCTGTAGCATGCGTGGTGTTGCTTGCAGCACATGCATCACATTTACGCTCAGATCATTGATGTGCTTACCGCTTCCCACTCATTCAGCCGTAATCACACTTGACTGAACCGCTTTGCAAGCATCTGCATCTACATAGATTGTTCCTCCTATTTGTTGTCTCCAGCTACAGACCAAGGCCCTTCCAAAGAAGGGCAACGAGCCTAGAATAACAACATAAAACTATGCATGGTGCTGGTGCTAAGCTAATCCCAATGAACCCTCATGATCCCAGTCTCTTGACAACTGCTGCTTATCCCAGCCAAAATCTGCTGCTGCTCATCGCAATCACAACCGCTGCTGCTGCTGCTGCTGCTGCTACTGCTCCTGCCTGCCCTTGGGCCTAACAGCTCTCTCCCTGTTCCCAACCGATCCCCGGACTCAGGAAAGTTCCTCTTCTGCGCAAATAAGTGCAAACCTTATCCATGAGCCTCAAACTTTTCAAACTTCCACTGCAGAGCACAAGGAGACGGATCGCTTATCGTCGAGGCCGGGGGGAGCGGCTCCGCTCCCTCTCCTTCCCTCCATCCCCCTTTACCGTGCGCCGCTCAGGAGACTGCACCCGCCTTGCCACTTCCTCCCTCCTCTCCCCACCCCCATCCGCCCTACCATTGCCATCTCTACCCCCTCCCAAACCCTCTCCACCTTTCCCCCTCCCGCTCTCCCTGTCACGATCCCGCTCCCGATCCCGCTCCCGTTCATCATCCGACCCTCTGTCGCGCCGCTCCCTCCCCCCATCCCGCCCCTCCTGCCCCCTGTCCCGCTCCCCCAGCTTCTCCCTCCCCCGCTCCCTCCCCTTCCGCCGCTCCCTCTCCTTCATGATCTCCCTCTCCCTTGCCCTCTCCAGTGCCCGATCCCTCTCCAAATCCCAGTCCCTGCCACCCGGCCTCATATCATCCCTTCCTCGCAGCCCCAGCATCATCCCATGCCCCCCATGCCCCCCACGCCCCCCATGCCCCCCATGGCCCATGCCACCACCCATAGCATCCCATGCTCCCCCTCGGCCCATCATTCTCTCCCTCCCACCCATCCACTCCCTCCCCCTCCCATGAATCTCCATCCCATACCCTCCCTCGGGTCCCAAATACTCCTCCCGCGCACTCCCCCCTCTCCTGCCCCCATCGTACCCCCCTCCGCCGCCCCTCCCCTCCAACATCCCACCATCGCCAGATCTCGGCCGTTCATCATACTCCCCCCGGCGGCCACCCCCCCTTCCGCCCTCCCCATCATACCCCCTGCCGCTGCCACTCCTATCATACTCCCTGCCGCCACCACCACCAGGCAGAAAACCCCCATCTCTACCCCCCCCTCTCCCCGAGTGCCCACCTGGAAACCCATGACCGTCAAGAATACCAAAACCTGGGCCGTCCCCTACGCCTCTCATGGGTCCCAGGGGGTGGAGAGGGATTGGGGGCGGTCCAATGCGGTGGATGGGGAGGTCGGGCGCGAAGGGCATGGGGACTATGGGCGGCTGGTCGCGGCGAGGCATGCCACACTGGTGGCAGCGCACTCGGCGGGCGAAGTTGAGATTGCCGCACCTGCACGCGGCGGAGAAGAGGAGGAGCGGCAGGAGGAGCAGCGGGAGGAGCACGAGGAGCAGGAGGAGGAGAAAACCCGGAAGGAAAACCGTGAGAAGTCAGGAGAGATCCCAGGAGAATGGGCGGTACAAGTCATGCTTCTTGACCAACGAGCCACCATCAACCAAAGAATGACACAGCTTCAGTACCTAAGAGGTTTGGCCTGCCTGTCCGAGTCTCCCAGGGAAACGCTGCTGGGACTTAAATTATGTACACCGTGGTCCCAAATCTGTATATGAATCCCCGAAGACCTGAGAGAAAATAAAAACTGAACGGAAACCTGCAGAGCAAAATTCGGCTCCCGAGTTTCGCAGTGGGGGTAATCGGATTTCTGATTTTCTCCAACCCACCACCCACCTGTCAATCCCTCCTGCTGCTGCCCAGCTTCCCCGTTAGAACCTTCCCCTCCCACAAGAGTAACACACGAAGCACCCAGCGAACCAGCCGCACTGACCACCAAATAGACCAGCTGCGTTCCTAACCCACCTGCTCCCGCTGCAGTCACCCATATCCGCTGCGAACAAATCAACTGAAAGGGATCGGCTGCAGAAAAACCAGCTGCAAAAGAATCGGCTACGAAAGAAACAGCTGAAAGTATCAGCTGCAAAAAAACCACACAGCTGCCGGGCAACAATCTGAGATCATCCAAGGCTTATCGCAGGTCATCCAGACCTAACCCCTTGCTTCACCTCATCGACTTGCAACCCTCGTTCACCTGTAACCCCTATCTGCCTGTACGTTTCATCTACCTGCGTCGGAAGGCGCTAGACGTACATGGGTTCGACGCAGATCCAGTCTCCCTCGCGCGGCTGCACGTTCGGGTTCCCGCGCGGCCCCATGAACCCGCCGCCCATGCCCATGCGCGCGCCGAAATGCGCGGCCGCTACGTGCGCCCCCGGCGGAAGCCCCGCGAGCCCCATGCCCGCAGCGACCAGCTCCTCCATCCGCTGCTGCTCCGCGAATCCCTCCATTTCCCCCCGCCGCTGCTCCATCTCCCGCATTCCCCCAATTGGTCCTCCGCGCGGCGATCCTCTGCCATACAAGTCCCTCCCCCCGTCCCTCCCCCCGTCCCTCCCCGCATCTCTTCCCCTATCCCTTCCGCCGTCTCTCCCTGCATCCCTTCCGCCGTCTCTCCCTGCATCCCTTCCGCCATCTCGCCCCGGATATCTCCCCCCATCCCGCGGATCTTCCCGTGATGAGTAACGGTCCGGAGAGCCCAACCGCCTAGGTCTTCCTGATCCGCTTCCGCGCGCCCCCGCTGCTCCGCTTCCTCCGCCAGCCGGCGGTGAAACGACGGCATTCAGTGGCGGAGATGCCATCCGATCAAGATCGCTGCTTCCCCGTCCGCCGTAACCCTCCCCTCCGCCTCTAATCATTCCCACCGCACTACTCAAACCACCGTTACCACTCAATCCGCCACCACCACCCATCCCGTCGCTACCACCCATTCCGCCGCTCCCACCCAATCCGCCGCTTCCACCCCCCATTCCGCCGCTTCCCCCCATTCCGCCAACTCCGCCCGTCTCATCGTCCGGGTCTCCGCGGACGGCAAGCAGTGTTCCGCCAGTCGACAGCTCCCGCCGCTGCAGCCCCATATCGTGCCGCAGCTGCTGCAGCCCCCCCACATCGGAATCTTCCCCGAAGCTGCTCCTGCGACTCACGTCTAACGCGCTCCCTGCGTTCCTACGGCTGTTCCCGTACCCATCTGCCACGTCATCCCCCCTTGAAGAGCCATAACCCAGCCTGTTTGGAAGAGGTCCTCCTAGGCGATCCGCTGCCGAACCTCCGAAGCGATCTGTTACCGAGCCTCCAAGGCGGTCTGGTACCGAACCTCCTAGGCGATCTGCAACCGGAGCTCGCACGCGGTCCGGTACCGGGCCTCCAATGGGGGACCCTGAAGCCAAACCTGCCGGCCACCCAAGCCGGTCCAAAACGGAACCAGCCGGCCGATCGGTGACAGGACCACCAAGCCGTTCTGTAACAGGTAACCCTAGACGATCCGTGACTGATAACCCGAGTCGATCTGAAAGCGGCATACCGGGGCGATCCGAAAACCCGCTGATTCGTTCTGGAGCGGAGGAAGCCAGGCGATCGGCTGCTACAATGGGAATATCTGGCTTGAAAGCAGACGTGAAGTTTGGTGGAGGATCCAACGTAACTTTCATGCGAAGGCCTTGGAATACGTAGCCTGCAGCACGCAATGGTAGACAAAAAAAGGCGATGCCAAGAAAATAATATTAAACTTGCAGATCACTTTCAGAAGGCAGTGACAAGGTCGGAAAAAAGAATGTGCCGATCTAACGTCAATTTTCACTGGAAAAAATAGACCCAAAAAAAAAAGTCACGCACCGTCGAACCACTTGACGACGTGCTGGTCGGACCCTGGCTTCTGAAGCCACACTTCCGCCACCACGCCGTTCCTTCCGTTGAAATGGAGCTTCGTCTTCAGGCCTCGCGTCTCAGGATCCATCTGCACGCATTGACAGACGCTGTATTATTAAATTCCCAGGAAAATAGAACAAGCTGAAACAAACGGGGAAAACGGGAAAGGGAAACAACTTGTGCTTTTTGGCAATGTTTCCAGTTAGAGAGCGCACCTGAACTTCAGCAACTTCTCCAATGAGAGAGGCAATGTCTCGCTCCCTGACGTCGTTCGGAAGATTCGATATCCACACCATGGAATCCATCGATCCTTGCGGCTCCTTGCCTGTTAAGAGAACAAACAACATATCGGAAGCATAAGGAAAACAGGAGATGACAGAGTCATGATAAGAAGGAATTTTTTTTCAGGATCACCTACCCTGATCGAAATCAATCGTCGGACGGCCGAAAGGATCGGTAATATATGCCGACGGCCTCGCCTCAATCCGTAACGACTCTTCATCTCCCTTCCTCGTCGGCCATATTCTCCGCTCCTCCGTTCCCAGATCCACGAACTCGTGCCTCCGGTCAGCCATACCTGACCGGCCGTACCTATCGTCCATCATACGGCCTACCCAAAAGACGCGGCCGTACGACACACCGTCTAGCCAGCAACGAACAACTTCTATCCGGCAGTCAACAAACGGATTCTAGGAGCAAGGCTGGGAGGAAAAAGACACATCAACCATGTCTGCAAAGAAGCAGATCCATTTTGAAATGTGGTTGGTTGGCGTTTGCCTGATTGGACAAAACAAAATATGGGATTGGTCTGGTCTGGTGGTCTGGTGAAACCTGAGGTCATCACACAAACAGTCGGTGAAAATCATGTATTAAGTTCTCGGTACATCGCGTTCCAGTACGGTAGCTTCCAAGTTACGATGCAGAAACCCTTGTTTTGGGCGACCCTGCCGAATACAGTAACGACGAACGACGTTCTGGAAGCCTTCGTTAGCCGCCGACTGAAACGTTTCGGTTTCGTGGAAACGTGGACGAACATTTATCGAAATCCCCATCGCGAATTGCAGAGCCTCGCAATGCAACGGTGGTCCAAACTCCCTCGGGCTCCTTTCTAGGCTTTTTATGCTCCGACTGGCTCTAGCTTCTGTCCTTGCTGGTCTGGACTCCTATGTTTTGCTATGCCGTCAACATCGCTAAAGGAAATGCGTAGCGCACACCCTTCGACGCCATGGCTCTAAAACGATCCTCAAATGTTCAGCACATAAAGGTTGTGAAAACTGGACCTTACAAAAACGAAATTTCACATAATCATACACACTCCCTTACAAGGTCCCACACTAGCAAACTCTTTCAAAATCATCTAACAAGTACCATCACCACCATGAATGATAATGTAAATTTCCCTTCAGTTGATGGGAATATCTACAATAGCCGGCTTCTTCGGCTCGGGTGGCTTGACCTTGGGCACAGTCACAGTGAGCACGCCATTCTCCGAGCTCGCTGCGATCTTATCCACTTCCACGTTATCAGGAAGACGGAATCGTCTCAAGAACTTGCCAGTGCTCCGCTCCACGCGGTGATACTTATCGGTCGCTTCCTTCACTTCCCGAGTCCGTTCGCCGCTGATGGTCAGCAGATTCTTATCTTCGATTTGGACCTTCACCTCGTCTTTCTTCAGTCCTGGGAGATCCGCGATGAATTTGAAAGCCTCGGGAGTCTCTTTCACGTCAACGGCAGTTGACGCCATCGCGTTGCTGTCTCTCACGAACCTCGATGTCGGAGCGTCGAAGAGCGTGCTGAACTCGTCTGGGATGTGCGACAGCCGGAGAAGTGAGTTGAATAGAGGATCAGAGCCGCCGAACGGTGTGAGCGCCATGGTCTTCTGTGAAGCTACGAAAAGGCTGAGAGCAGGCGAGGAGGTAGTAATTCGCGAGAATTGTTATAACGAGAGCGCTGTTTGTAAGTTTAATTCTGGCATTTGGGTGGAACTTCGCAGGCTTTATACGAATAGCGACTAGGCGTACGGCCAAATGCGATTCGCCAACGATGCACGAAAGTTCTGAAACCAGCACGGCCATGGCTCTGGAACAACGAAGCTGGCATCAGAAGTGTGGCACTGCCAATGAGATTCCATCAAAGAAGAATCTAGGAGAAGCCAGAATCAGACGCAGCCGTCGCTCACTCAGAAAGTGCTAGAACAAATCGTGCTAACTTGGCTCTCCAGAAGTCCCTAGACGAATGATCTTTGAAGAATCATCCATGGCGATGGCTGGAGGGAAGGGGTTGAGTGTGCGCTGCGGTATGCTCTAGAATGATCGCGATGGACAAGAGCTTGAGCATAAGCGATATACGTTCTCTCGAAGCAAAACACGACAACAAAACGAGCGTCAACAGCATTGATTGTAAATGGAAAACCTAAATTTCACGCATAAATACATTTACAATTCCATCCAGCACATATTGAAAAGCGTGCCAACACCCCTCTTGCAAAACGGCTGCAAGATTAGCAATGGCAGGTAGTAACCTTCACGAATTCCAACACATTATGGAGAACATTGTTTAGCTATATAAATCATGAAACAAGCCCGTTGCTATAATACGGTAGTTGCAAATCTGTACAAATCAGCTGCTCGCTTGAGCAACAATCCCCAGCCCGTTGCCGTACGTTTCTCATAAGATGCAGCACCCCTGCTTATAGAGTACTCAGTCAGGTGCTGCTACGGCCCGCCGGGGGGTCAATGTCAAAGAAAACATCAGACCCAAAGGGTCCATCTAAAAGCATGTCAGAAAAGTCCTCTGCTGAAAACATGTCACCATGCGATGTAGGCAATATGTCATGCGATGATGTGCCATGTGGACCTGAGACGTCCACGTCAGCATCAGCGCATGCACCATCAGCATCAGCACCATCCCCACTGTGACAGTCCTTCTCCTGTTGCTCATGCTGCTCGGGAAGAGGGTGAGGGACACAGAGGATGTTGGGGAGGGAGTGGGGAAGGGAAGATGAGAGGAGTGTGAAAAATCCTTCGAGAAAATATCAAGGCAAAACAGGGGCGGTGGTGGATATAATGGAAAAAGACACACACAAAGTGGAGAAGCAAACTTGGAAAGCAATAGCACCTCACGATTGGTCACCTTCCTTTTGCAACGATTCAAGAGCCACATGAAAAGCACAGAGCGCCTCACCTCCTCAATCTCATCGTTGCGTGCGAATCTGCCTCTCACGCGCGGCCGACTGTCCGCCAGGTTTTTCCGACACGCGTACTGCTCATGTGCATGCCGGGTTGTGCAACCAGTTCACACACAGATGAAAGAACGAGGAAAGGCAGGACGCATGAGGGGCGGGGAAGGGCAGACAGGAGGAGTGGCAGAGAAGAGGGGAAGCTTAAACCACTGGCTGCTAAAGGGCCTGAGTTGAAGAGAGTGGGAAGGAAGAGTACTACAGAAGGATATGGTGGATTTAATAGTAATAATAGCAATAACAACAATAAAACGTACTTTCAGGCTGATGATGGTGCGGAAGAGCACGGGGGTTTCGAAAGTATGTAGTAACATATTCCCTGCAGCCCACCTTGATTTTCTTGGTAAAGTTCCTCTCGTGTCTCTTCTGCCGGTACTTCATAATCCGCAGCCGCCGCTCCTCCAGCGTATACCGGCCGATCCGGAACACACCCATGCCCATCCCCATGCCCATGCTCATCCCCATGCCCGCTCCCAAGGCCCCCATGCCCACGCCCATTCCCCCCATACCCATGCCCATGCCCAGTCCCATGCTGGTACGATCCTCAAAGGGGCTCATTCCTGCTGCTCCAGGTGGGGCTGGGAGGTGACCGAAGCCCATGGCTAATGAACGCATAGCAGCCAGGGACTGGCGTGTTGGGGGGGAGGGGGAAGTGTGGGGAGAAAAGGGGAGCAGTGGGGGAAGAGGACGGGAGATGGTTGATTGAAGGTGGGGCTGGGAGGTGACAGAAGCCCATGGCTAGCGAACGCATTGCAGCCAGGGACTGGCGTGTTGGGGGGAAGGGAGGGCGGGGGAGGGTGGGGAGTAGGGATCAAGGGATAAGGAAGGCAAGGAGTTGATATGGAAGAGTATCAGGGGGAGCTGGGAGGTGGCCGAAGCCCATGGCTAGCGAGCGCATTGCAGCCAGGGACTACTCAGTAAGCGAGGAGGGGGGGAATGGTGAGAAAACGGAGAAAGAAAGGGTGGACGGGATGAATGAGCGCATGGATATCCCCATTTCACTGGGGCGAACCTGAATATCGCCTGTGCTGTGAGCTCGTCGCATGTTGCTGAATGACGGCAGCATCGGAGCCCCCATGCTGCCTCCCATCCCTCCTGTCATGCCGCTCACGCCTCCCCCCACGCGTGCAAATGGGCTCCACCCAGAGTTTCACTGGTATGTACCTACCTGAATATCGCCTGTGCTGTGAGCTCGTCTCATGTTGCTGAACGACGGCAGCATTGGAGCCCCCATGCTGCCTCCCATCCCTGCAATGCCGCTCATGCCTCCGCCCGCGCCTGCAAAATGCCCACCGGCAAACCCTCCTCCTGCCAGGCCTGTTGCTGCCGCCGCCGCTGCTGCTGCTGCTGCTGCTGCTGCTGCAGTTGCTGCTGCTGACGCCCCTGCTCCTGCTGCCTCTGTCATCATACTCTCCCCGGCCACACTTATGCCAGCAGCAGCACCACCAGCAGCACCTGCAGTAGCGGCAGCAGCAGGACTAGCACTGGCGGCTCCAGAGCCATACGAACCTGCTGACGCAGCAGTCGCACCACCAGCAGCACCAACACCCATTGAATTGCTTCGAGACCCCATCACCCCACCTGCCCCGCCCCCTCCAGCTAACCCCTCGCCCATGCCCATGACCCCTCCCTCCATACCCACAGGCATATGCTGCCCTGCCAGATGCGCTGCTGCTGCTGCAGGGGGGAGTGGCGGGAGGCCTGGCAAATGCTGCATTTGCAGCTGACCCAACGCATGGCTGCTGAAGCTCCTCTGCATGCTCATGCCCATACCCATACCCATGTGCATGCCTATGCCCATGCCCATGCTTGCCCCCATGCCTGCGCCCATGCCCATGGCCCTGCGGGCCCGCAGGATGGGGGATGGGAGGGGTTTCAGCTCGTCCTCCTCACCATCCTCGCCATCCCCAGCGTCCCCTTCGCCACTTTCGCCTTTGCTGTCGTTACCATCCCCATCCCCGTCGCCATGGCTACCCACATGCATGATTGGGTTTCCTGCCACGCGGCGTGTGCTCTCTGCCCCATCAGGCCCTTTACCTGATACCCCAGCACCAGTTGCACCTCCCGCCCCGTCCCTCCCAGCTCCTGCTCCTCCTCCTGCCTTGCCTGTACTTCTAATATCGCCTGCCCCCCCCAATCTCTCTGCCCCTCCAACCTGTGCCTCCTCCCCTTGTCCCCCTGTACTGCCTTCACCACTATGAGTTGTTCCCCCCACACACCCATTAGCCATTCCTGCCACAGCACCTGCTACCTGCCCTGTCCCTGCTGCTGCTGTGCCCTGCCTTGCCGCTGCCGCAGCAGCAGTAGATAGAGGAGCCATGGCAGACGCAGTTCCACTGGCATTGGCAGCAGCAGTCATGGCGGCAGCAGCAGCCGCAGAAGCTGAGGTGATGGAAGCACCTGGAGGTGTGGGAGTGGCATTACGGGCAGAAGCACTAGGAGTGGCAAAAACGGCAGCCTGAGTAGCACCCCCCACTGCCCCCCCTCCTCCTCCCCCTCCACCTGCCATCCATCCCCCCATCTCCGCCCCAAGCCTTTGCCACATGTGCGCGTGCGCATCCATTTGTCCGCCTGCAACTGCTGCTGGCCAATGGGAATGCGACAGCTGTCCAGCAGAGGCAACTCGGCGCATCTTAGCATACGGGCCGGAAGCGGCAGCCGCAGCAGCAGCAGCAGAAGCAGAAGCAGCAGCAGCAGCAGCAGAAGCACTGGCAGAAGCAGCGCCGTTAGCAGCAGGCACAGAGACAGCAGAGGGGGAGGCAGGCACGGATCTACCCAGTCCCACAGCTCTGGGGGACTGGGAGGGCAAGGAGGAACGAGGCGAAGGGGGAAAGGTGGACCGAGGTGAGGGGGGCAGGGCGGAGCGAGGAGAGGGCGCTCCTGGGGACTGAGAGGGCGCGTTCAGTGCCGGTGACGCCAGCGATTGCAGCACGATTCCGCCGGGAGAGAGAACCACTGCGGGCGAACCAGGGGGCAAGGAGCGCATGTTGGATAGCCCCTCGTGCAAGCTCACCCCTCGTCTGATTCCCCCCGACGGTTTATAGTGGCCTGCTGCTCTGCCTGCTCCTCCAGCTGCTCCTGCTCTTGTCCCCCCTCCTATGGATCCAGATCTAACCACCCTGGGGGTGCATAACTCTCCCTCCCCTTCGAGCCCTTCTGTCTTTACAAAGCTTCCAGCCTTGTTACCGCTCGCCCCTCCTCCTGCTGCGCCTGCTCCTCCTGCTTCTGCTGCAGAAGTGGCTGCAGTCGCTGCCGTTGCTTCCATTGCTGTTGCCCCGCCTGACGCAGCAACGGGACTGGTTCTCCCTGCTGCACCCACAGCACTAACACCACCACCATCAGCAGCACCAGCACCAGCACCAACGGTTCTGCCCCCAACTGCAGCTGTTCTAGAAGGGCGTGCAATGCCAACTGGAAGAGCTGGTAACCCAGGGAGGGAAGACACTCCTGCGCCCACACTCCCCGACCCCATGCCCCCCATCCCCCCCATGCCCCCCATCCCCCCCATGCTCCCCATCCCCATGGGCCCCATTCCCCCCATGCTCCCCACGCTTCCCACTGCAAGGGGGCGTGGCAACGCAGCAGCGGAGGCGTTTCCAGGGAGCATGCCGGGAGGAAAGACAAAGGGCGGGGGTAGGCCTGGGAGGTTGGGCAGGCCGCGCAAGGAAGGGGGCATAATGGGGCGGAGGGCGGGGAGAGTGGTGCCAGTGGCAGTGCTGGTGGTGGTGGTTGCGGATGGCACAAGGTGAGACGCCATTGCTGCTGCTCCTGTGCTGCTACCCATACCTGCTGCTCCTGATGCGCCCCCTGCTCCTACTGCTCCTCCCCCGCCCACCAGTTGTCCCTCGAGCTGCTCCTGTTTCATCGGCTGATTGATGGCACCTTGCATGTGCCCTTGCCCTCCTCCTACCATGTGCCCTTGTCCCCCTCCTGCCATGTGGCCCTGCCAAGATGCCAGCTGAAAGGCATGTCTGGCCATGGCTTGCTGCTGTGACATCGCCTGCTGCTGGGCCATTGATTGCTGCTGTGCCGCTGCCTGCTGCTGTGTAATTGCCTGCTGTTGTGACATCGCCTGCTGCTGCTGCTGCTGCTGCTGCTGCTGCGTTACTGCTGCTTCTGTCGCCTGCCTGCCGTGCCTGCTGCTGTGAGAGACTGACGGGCTCACCACCCTCCCCGCATCCTGAACTTGACCAGCAGAGGCAGACGCAGAGGCAGACACACCAGAGGACGACACATGCTGCTGCTGATGTTGCTGTTGTTGGTGCTGGTGTTGGTGCTGACGCTGCTGTTGGTGGTGGTTGTGAGGCTGTGGCAGACCGTGGGGTTGAGAGGGCAGTGGCTTGCAAGACGAAGGAGGAGACGAGCTCATTGTGTGGCTGTCATTGGAACCTTGAGGTGATGACGTGGCAGCAGCAGCGCCTGCCACGCGCACTCCTCCTATCCCCCTCACTTGCTGCTCCCCGGATTCTGTAACATTCATGTGGTTACCAGCGCTCATGGTATTACCACCTTCAAACCCAGCCCCATCGCCGTCCTCCATATAGGCAGGCTCAAAGACCCGTTTTAGCTTTGACATAGTGGTTGAAGTTCGCGGCTTGACATCCCCTGTTGCCGTTCCCCCATGCGCCTCCCCCTTGTTCTCCCTACCAGATACGCACATACCAGAGCACGTGTTACCACCACCTGCGTTACAGGTTCCTGCACCTGCCACCGAACCTGGCACCAAACCAGGAAATGCCACCGAACCATATCCAGCACCTCTGGAAACGTCACCACCTGGAGCAGCAGCAGCAGCAGCAGCAACAGCCGGCCACACCATCAGCAGAACCACTAGCCACAGCAGGACCAGAAGCAGTACCCGCACCAGCACTGGTTCCCCCAGCGCCGGTACCACCAGCAGTACCAGCAGCAACAGGCATGGGCTGAAGGCCAACGCGAGCCTCGCTGCAGCCACGTCCATAGGACTTGAAGGCCACGTCGTCGCTGCACGGCTCGTGCTGGCTGGGCGCGTGGACGACGTCGGGCAGCACAGGCACACCCGTCCCACCGGACGCCCCTGCGTTTGTAGCACCAGCGTTTGTGGCAGGCAGCCCGTTTAATGCGGCGCTCATGGCGGCGAGACCGTCCTCTGCCAATCCCATGTCGCCCATGGCGTCGAATGTGATGCTCTGCCGTGCATGGGTGAGCGGATGAGGAGGTGGAGGGGAAGGCAAAGATGGAGAAAAAGTATAAAGAGCCACGAAAAACGGCAACACTTGATGTCATGGCACGGAGAGTGTGTGATGAAGGCGACGAAACAGTGACGAGGGAAAAGGGGAAAAAACGAGACCAGGTAAGACAGAGCGTACCTCCTATACTAGGCCTAATGAGGGGGGAGGGGGAAACGGATTGGATAAGGCGAGATGGGGAAAGTGAGGCGGGAGGAACGAAACGGCGGATGCTGTTGATTCGACTCTCGTAAAGATATGTATACTAAGAATGGCGACGACTTGTGACTATAACGGGCGCACCTCAAAGTCTGTCATGGAGAATATGGCGTCGTCAAACTCTCCTTGCAGGAAATCCGCTTTCGCCGAATCAGCCATGGTTATTTCGAAGCTTCAAGAATGTGTTATGGAAAATACAGTGATAGAAGAGATTCAGAGTTCACGCGCTGAACAGTGAGGAGCCCTGGGCGACAACGAGCTCTGAACGATGAGGAGGTTGATATCGAAACGTTGGCTGATAAGGGCTTTTGCTGACAGGTAGCTCTGAACGTTAAGCTGGGAATGATAAGCAGATTCTGAAAGTTAAGCTGAAAACGTGAATGGCGGCTCTAAACGTTAAGCTGAAAACGTGTTTTGACGGAAGGAAGCTCTGACTGAGATTTGGCTGATAAGGAGGCCTGACTGATAGACCCACTGAATGATAAGGACCCCCTGAAATGTAAAGTAGCTCTGTCTGACAAGAAGCTTGTAGTGATAAGGAGTTTAATAGAGCCCCAGACCGGCTTCTACAGCTCTAGCGATTTCGTCTTCAAGAGGCTAATTGTTAAAGGGAGGTTTGCCTATAGGGGCCTTCAAGGAGACTGACTGGATAACGGTTCTTGATAACGAACCAAACGTGTCAGAAAAAAGTGTAGCACACTAATTAGGGTGCTGCGCACCAATTAAGAAGATTAGGGAGGGAACAAAGGATTTGCTGGCTACGGACACTGGAAGAGGAGTGTCATGTCGTCAGATTGTTCAGTTAAGCTGCAGAATTCCGAGACATTCCGAAGGCAACTTGAGCAACCTAGGAGTCAACGCTGTTTCGAGGAAATAGGACTAGTCAACAGTCGATCTTATACCCTCAAGTGACGGATGTTAACGAGATTTCTCGAAGCTAAGATTGGACGTTCTTGGACTGGTGTATCTGCAGACCCTGACCCCTTTCCAGGTGTTCAAATTTGGCTCTATAGCTCGATGGTACCAACCCAAATGACAGGGACAGCACATCGACAAAATAGAAGGGGCATTTGCAGGACAAGGGGAAGTGGAGCTGATGAGAAGAGCCCTATTTGTATTTGTGAAGGAAGCTGGAGGCAGTTCATAATCAGTAGCACCTTTATTTGGAGGAGCAGAAAGCTTTCGACAAGCTCGAGGTAACAGACTTCGCCTGGGGTTTCCCATGAACAACCTTGGTTACTCATTCGCACCTCCCTCGATTCTGTCATGAACCCTTCGTTTGCGGAACTAAAAGCACACACCGTCTTTAGAAATTGTGTGACCGGACTCGCCAAAATTCCTCTTTTCCTCCGATTCCGCTCGTTATCGTAACTTTCGCTAAGGGTACCTGTGTTTGCCCCACCTGTCCACCTCGAGAAAGGGTGTTGAGGATGCGAAGATGCCACGTCATCCTTTCGCTTTCGTCATCCTTCCCTTTTTGCAGCCACGGAACTTTCCAAAGCTGGAGCTGTGGAAGCTTTGCACAGCTCTTTCCAAAAGCAGACAGGAAAGAGCACTGTGCGATATCAACAGTGCGTCACTGAGGATGCCAAATCAGCGGCTCGGGCATTCGGTGAAGCTGGAAAGACTTCTGACCGATTGACTTTCACCCCAAATATGCTGCTGTGAACGGTGGAGGACATTTTGACAAAACAATAGCCATTGTCCGGATCTACACTTGCGTACCCGTAGTCAGAAATTACAAACTACCCCACCCCATCAACGTTTTCTTCCAGCACAAATGCCTATTGGTGGTTAATTTTTGGTAAGCCAGAAGAAAATCATCAGTGGACACCAATCTGGGCCTCCCTTTCCTTCACAAGGTTGGCGTACTCTTCACGACTTGATGCAATCAGTTGCTTCACAGTGTCATACGTTGTCAAGCGAATGCTGCCAGCCATAACGAGACATGGGGGGGTGGGATGGGGGGGAGAGGGGGGGGGGGGGGGGGGGGAGGGGAAGAATTGATAAAACTGGATAATCTAATTTAAAAAATCATAGATATTGACAGACTCAAGCGAAGGCTCAAAGCAAGGATTACATAAGCCCAACATTAGCGGGAAAAGAACACACAGGTCAACAGCAGCACACACAAGCAGGCACCCGCACAAGCACAAGCACGCAGACAGCCACCCACCTGCTGTTAGGAAGGTTCTTGAGAGCATTGGCAATGAAACCGCGGTACAGCCCGACCACTCCGTCTCGAGCAATGATGCCGGGAATGGCGTCAAACACCGAGGTGAAGGGCGACCCCTTCATCTGCATCTGCCGCCGCACCGTGTCGAGCGGGTAGCACATCACCGTTGCAAACGTAGTGGCGCACAGAGCAGTCACGAAAGAGGCCTGGGGTGTCTTGCGGTACTTCTCGGGGATAGAGCGCTTGATGCTGGGATGGTGGGGAAAGGCGGGGGAAGGAGGGTGATTGGTTGAGATAGGAAGGAGAAGCCAAAGCAAGCCGCACCGTGTCGAGCGGGTAGCACATCACCGCTGCGCATGTGGTGGCACAGAGAGCATTCACGAACGAGGCTTGTGGGGTCTTGCGGTACTTCTCAGGGATAGAGCGCTTGATGCTGGGATGGTGTGGGAGGGGAAAGGTAGGGGGAGAAGGGGAGCGGGTGTGGGGGTGGGGATGGGGGGTTGGGTAGGGTCCAGTATAGGGTGCACTGCACTGAGTTCAGCAGGGAGGGGGTTGCTACGGGAGTGATGAGCCGAAGTGAGTTGCGTAAAAGGGCCTCAGAAGCACAACCCACAGAAGAGAGCAGAATTCCCAGGTCAAAGGAAGTGCATATAACAGGCGACTCACAGGTAAAAGAGAAAGGCACGTAGCGCGGGACTCACAGGTCGAAGGCGCAAAAGTTGAGGGCGATGTATGGCGCGATGGAGATGAGGGAGGGAGGGCAGTGGTGTAGAGGGAGGGTGGTGAAGGAAGCACCCACAGGTCAAAGGCATGTGGGCTTTACGGCTCACAGGTCGAACGCGCAGAAGTTGAGGGCGATGTATGGCGCGATGGAGATGAGGGAGGGCGCGAGGCCCTTGTAGAACGACAGCACTCCCTCCTCATTGCCATCGCCACATATATGGTAGGGCGCTCACACACACACACCCAAGGCACATAACAGCAGTGGACTCACAGGTCAAATGCGCAGAAATTCAGAGCGATGTAGGGCGCGATGGAGATGAGGGAGGGCGCAAGGCCCTTGTAGAACGACAGCACTCCCTCCTCTCGGATCATTGCCATGGCCACCGAGCGCATGCCCCTTGACGCCGGGTCCACTGCCAGACGCAGACGCAGCACGTCCAGGGGGTAGGTGATCTGCGGGGCGAGAGGGGGGGGAGGGGGGTAGGAGAGAGAGGGTAAGGAAGGTAGTGCGCCCTCCTCGCGGATCATTGCCATGGCTACCGATCGCATGCCCCTCGACGCCGGATCCACTGCCAGTCGCAGCCTCAGGACATCCAGAGGGTATGTGATCTGTTGGGGGAAGAGGGGATGATGGGGAAGGCAAAATAGTGGGGGAGGGAGGGGACATTGCATGTGAGGACATGTAATGCAGCAAAGGTCTCAAACGAAAGACATGCACCAGCACATAGAACCCGTGCCATTGCATGCAGATACCAACCTTTGACATCAGGCCAGCAGACATGTGTCATGTCACATACCAGTATTGACGTCATGCCAGCACACACATACCAGTGTTGACGTCATGCCAGCACACACATACCAGTGTTGACGTCATGCCAGCACACACGTACCAGTGTTGACATCATGCCAGCACACACGTACCAGTGTTGACGTCATGCCAGCACACACGTACCAGTGTTGACGTCATGCCAGCACACACGTACCAGTGTTGACGTCATGCCAGCACACACGTACCAGTGTTGACGTCATGCCAGCACACACGTACCAGTGTTGACGTCATGCCAGCACACACGTACCAGTGTTGACGTCATGCCAGCACACACGTACCAGTGTTGACGTCATGCCAGCACACACGTACCAGTGTTGACGTCATGCCAGCACACACGTACCAGTGTTGACGTCATGCCAGCACACACGTACCAGTGTTGACGTCATGCCAGCACACACGTACCAGTGTTGACGTCATGCCAGCACACACGTACCAGTGTTGACGTCATGCCAGCACACACGTACCAGTGTTGACGTCATGCCAGCACACACGTACCAGTGTTGACGTCATGCCAGCACAGGCGCCAGCTGCCAGCCTGGCAGGCACCGAGAGCTCCCCATTCTTGCCCAGGAATGCCTTCTGCTCCACCCCATACCCGTTATAAGAACATGCAGACGGGTCCAGGACGGGAAAGAACAAAAGAAAAGGTTAAAGGAAAAACGAACAGAGAGTTTCAGCTGGTCTGAGGTTCTTATAGGCGAAAGGCTCTCATTCAAAACGAGATTTCGTACTGTAAGATGAAGTGGAGATGACACATACCTTGTACATTTCGTACGCGAAGAGCTGAACTGCACTGTAGGGAATGATGCGGATGACCTGGCGAAACGGGACAGTAGGGGGATAAATAAATGCAGTGCGGTTGGGAAATCCAGTAGAATTCAAAAGTTTGTGCAACAATGCTGCAGGCAACAACAACTGAATGTCCACAGGGAAACTGAAAAAACCACAAAAAACCAAAAAAAAAAAAAAAACGGGTTCATGCAAAAAAAAGGAAACTTGATGTGACTTGATGTGACCAAGATATGACCTACCCCAGTGACCAAGATATGACCTACCCCAGTGACCAAGATATGACCTACCCCAGTGACCAAGATATGACCTACCCCAGTGACCAAAATATGACCTGCCCCAGTGACCAAGATATCACCTACCCCAGTGACCAGACCAAGATATGACCTACCCCAGTAACCACCCAGACAGCGCCCTACCTGCGGCAAGTTGCCCTTCCAGTAGCCCAGCACTCCCTCCTGACGACCAATCGCCAGGAACGACTGTTTCACACAGGGAAAAAAGGAAAGAAAACGAAACACACAGCTCCGTACAGCTTATGTACCTTCCATACAGCTCGGACAAGTGGGAAAACTTTCAAGGCGCCTCGGCAGTGGAAAAGCACACAGAAAGAAGAGTCAGAAACAAGCCCCCATTGAAAGCGCCAGCGACACCATTGGCAGGACAGGACGTTAGCGAACAGCACAAGACGCATTGGCAAAGCACTGGCGATAAATCGGCGAGCTTAGGCGAACACTGGCGCTAAATCGGCGAGCTTAGGCGAACACTGGGGCTAAATTGGCGAGCTTAGGCGAACACTGGCGCTAAATCGGCGAGCTTAGGCGAACACAAGACGCAATGACAAAGCACTCACGTCCAGCAGCCCGACCGGCTTGGCGGCGACGTCTTGAGGCACCTGCACGCTGCGCACCTGATAGGGACACGCGGGGGGGGAGAGGGGAGGGGGGGTGGGGGGGAGGGGGGAGAAGGCGGAAGAGGTGGTAGTGGGGGGGGCAGACGGGGGGGAGACAGCGTTGAAAATGTTGACGTCTTGAGGCACATGCACGCCGCGCACCTGATAGAGACACACGCGGGGGGGTTGTGTGTGCGGGGGGGGGGGGGGAGGGGGAGATGGGGGGGTAGGGAGAAACGGAATGTTGGGCGAGACGCCTTGCGGCATCTGCACGCTGCGCACGTAATAGAGACACGCAGCGTGAGGTGCGGAAAGGGTGGAAAAGGGAAGGTTGGTGTGAAAGGTTGGTTTGTGGGGTGGGAAAGGAAAGACTGAGGTGTGAAAATGGGGAACGGGCGAGGAAGAAGGGTGCGGGTGGGTGGGGAGGGGAGGGGAGGGGAGGGGGTGGGAGAGCATAGGAGGACGAGGGGAGGCGCATGGCGGGGTATCGGTGTGATAATAGCGGGGTTCATATGAACGTCTTTGGTGAAGGGGTACGAAAACGGGCCGCGGCGACCTGGAGAACCGGCGACCTGGAGAACCGGCGACCTCAAAAGTTCTTTGCGCGTTTAATCCCTTTAATAATCCCGGAAAAGTTCTTTAATCCCGTACGGCTTTGGGCAAAAAAGTCTCCTCTATCTGATCCGCATGTATGGGCTTCCAACGAAGCATACACCCCACCACCCTCTCCCCTCCTCTCCCTCCCTCTCCTCCCCTCCCCCTTTTCTCTCTCTCCCCTCCCCCCCCCCCCCCTTCCCCCCCCTCCCCCTCCGCCCATACCTGCAGCATGAGCTTCCAACGGTCAAGCGGCGCCGTCAACGTCTTGGCCGTGCCGCCCGCGACGGCGCCGGCGAAAAACAGCGCCGCGTCTTTCGGGATGAAGCTGAACAGCGCGATGGGCTTCCGAAGGTACTGTGCGAGCGTCGGCTTCACCGCATTTCCCGCCGCTGATCCCGCTGACGAAGCGCCTCCGTCTTTTTTCTCCGGGTCTCCTGACGCGGGTGCTTTTAGCGAGTCGGCAGCAACAGCTGCGAAAGGGGGACCGGAAACGAATTGGACGGTACCGATTGCGCTGCGGGTCGATCCTCGCCTTTTGATTGGCCAATGCACAGCAGGCTGAGAGCTTCCTAGATGTGCTGCGTTTGTCGATTTCTGACGCAGTTGAACCTTTCCCAATTGTGCCTTGACGAACCGGTCGAACCGCCGCTTCTGATGATCGACGGCATTGTGGAGGGAGGAGGCGAAAGACGCGGGATCAAATCCTGGAAGAGTCAATGCAAATCCTGGGCCATCTTTTCCGTCTAAATTGGAAAAATTGGACACGTGGGACGCGCTGATACGCCTGACCATTTTCGCCCGCGCCTTAAACAGTATGTTACGGTAGTGTGTTCAGCCACGAACGTTAGTATGACAAGCTGAGGGATCAAGAGCGAGGAAGCGACCTAATTTCAAAACACAGAAGAGAGAATTGAAGAATCGTGCAAGCTGCGAACGGCCAACCAAGGGTGGGGAAAGGGAATGGTGATCAGGCAGGCAGGAAAAAGATTTTAAAAAAGGAGCATGGAGTGTGAATGGTCAACCTAGGGTTTTGCGAGCTAAAACCACTGAGGTGCAATGCAATCCGTTCAAGGCGCATGGTTACTGGCATTCTCCTGCCCGTAGGTTCCCTGATCCAGTCACATTCAGTGTACATTTCAAATATGTTTCCGCTTTCAACCGCTTTGGAACTCGGTGAAACCGTGGTAAATGTTCCAGAATAAGCGTTGTTGTTTGGACACCTGTCTCTGGATATGTCTGATGTGGCGCGTCGTCCTGGCGAATATCCTCGTGCATGAGTGACCTTTCCACGTCAAACGATATGGTACGAATTTGAAACACCCACTTGGGTTGAGGCCATGTCATATGGCCACTGTTGTGTATGTAGTACCAATAATAATGCTAAATAATATAATGCTAACATTATATTTAAATACTAATAACAGTGTTTATGCCTTTTCAAATTGGATGGATCAAAATATAACCTTTCTGCCACAGTTTACTGGTCACATTGAGCGGAGAAGGTAGAGGTTGCCTTATTAACACATCATTGTCTGAGTCTTGGTATAGAAGCAGTCAACAAAACTTCGGCATATGATCAGCAAAGCTACAACTAGGTAACAACGCGAATGTACTACATATAGCTCTACCCAGATGGCATGTACTGATTCGAGTTCTCGACAATATCTTCAGGAAGCATCTCCCCTTCATTTCTCTCTTCCGTGAATCCTGCAGGTTGAATTTTAGTACAGTACACACCATGCCTCGGTCTCGTGAGTGCGCGCGTTCAAGCTTGTCAGTTTGGCAGGCCAATAGGAATGGCTCGCCGCATAATGTCAGGGATCTTGGATGCTTTGTGGACATCAAACCGCACCTTAGCCATCCGTACCTGTTTTGGGGGCTTGATCTATTCCGAACCTTTTGCCGAACAACAAACACAGGGTTCGGGCTTGCGAGCCTCTGCCGCAAGGTGCGCATGGCGTGGCGAACCAGCTAGGTTCTTGGCAGGTGTCGTATTCGGCGGGAACCTTAGAGACGAGGTCCCCCCACTACGTTCCCCGTCTCTGGCCGCAACTGGCGGTAGAGTGGATTTCGTATGGTCGCCCTTTTTCAGCAGTTGAAAATTGTTTTGTTTGTTGGCTCATTTTTCTCTCTCCATCATTTTTCGCATACACGTTGAGGGTTTCCGCGAGCGTACGTTTCCCTTTCTGGCTAAAAAAAGGCCCGTTCCGCAGATGGAGAAATACGAAAAGCTGACTCACTTGAAGCGCTTTTCACTGGTCGTCACCTGCCGCGCACATGGCTCTGTGCCGGCATGTCGCCCGCCAACAGAAGCGCAATCCCGGAAAACCAAACTCGCCGCGCAGGACAAATCTCAGGTAGTGTTTCCTGGGCACAGCGAACACAACCAGGCAGGGGCAGGGGCCCCTTCTGTTGTGCGATGTTTTGTTGCGCCCCACGATCCATCACAAACCTCAACCGAGGCTTCCACCCGTACCGAGCCTTCCATCCTTACCTGCGTGTGGGTTCTGATTCGCGAAAGCCGTATCCCGATCGAAGCGTCAGCCTTGCCCAGCCTGGCAAAGTGCCCCTCCAAACCCCAGCCCAACCTGCCCCTCGCTCCCACAAACCAATTTTCCAACCCGAGACAACTCCTGCATTGTACTCATATGGAGGCATAAAAGCCCAGTGCTTCAAGCCCCACGTTGAGCACTTGCGTTGAAATCCTAGGAAGGAGGTGGTTGAGGCGACCTCCCACGTGGCTCGTTCTTGATGCTCGCCTGTTCAAATTTGTGTGAGTGATGATTGGCGAGCGTATACATATCTTGTTCTCGAGCCTCTTGACTGTCGGGAGAAAAGGTGGAATAATCCAATCCCAAAAGGTGTAAGCGGCCTTCCTGATAACATTCAATAGATGTTGTCGACAAGCTTTCCGCATTGAATCGCATAGACTTATTCGGCCGTTGCGACATGGCGGCAGCCACCGCTTCGCCCATGTTAGATATCGCAAGAATCGCCACAACCGCCGCCACTGGTGCCGCTGGCGCTGTCGCGGTGACAATCGCCCCTCCTACGACGACGAGGGGCACGAAGCGTCCGCGAGATGCCAACCCAGTAGGGGAGATCTCCTCTTCTCCCTCCATGCCCTTGCATTCCGCCCCCCAGATTCGATCCGCTAACCGTAAGGTTCTCGCGGTCGCGTCGCCTTTTCTTCCTTCCTCTCTCTCCGCTCCCTCTTCCTCTTTCTCCGCTCCCCTTTCCGCTCTCTCCTCTCTGCCTTCCGCCCTCTCCGCTCCCCCATCCGCTCTCTCCGCCCCACTCTCCGCTCTCTCCGTTCCCCCTTCCGCCGAGATGTGCACTCCGCCGACTCCTTCTTCCGCCCCGCGCGGGTTCAAGCGCCGCCTGGCTCCATGGGACGAGAACGACGATACGCTTGCGCCTCCCCCTGCCGTTCCGCCGACTCCTAGCTCAGTGCTGCGATCCGCGCAGTGCCTCTCCGCGTCCCCCCGATTCCCTCGTCTTGCGCCCCCTCCATCTCCGCTGCTTCTCGAAGAGGTCGACAGCGACAGCACCTGCAGCAGCCCTGTAAACCCCCACCGCCTTCCGCAAACCCCCCGCCTTTCCGCTCAGCCCACGAGCGCTCCTGCGGAGACGCCCGCGGAGGATTCGCGCAAGCGCCAGCGCGCGCAGCCCTCACAGGTGCAGCGGCTTGAGGAGGCGTTTCAGGCGGCGGTAGCGGCACAGGAAGGATCCGCGCATGGGGAGAAGGCGCAGGCGGCGGGGCAAGTTCTTGTGTCCGCGGAGCGGCAGTGGCAGCTCGCGGCGGAATTGGGGCTTCTCCCCCGACAGGTCTCCGCGTGGTTCCAGACGCGGCAGCTGGAGTGGCAGGCGGAGCAGGGGGAGGCGGAGCTGCGGAAGATGCGCGCGGCGCACGCGGGACTGGCGGAGCAGTGCTGCGAAATGCGGAACGACTACGAGCTGCTGAAGGGGGACTACGCGCAGATGCTGCTGCACATTGCAAAGATTCTCAACAAGATCACGCAAATCGAGAATCTCCTTAACGCGGACGAGAGAAAAGCAAAGCAAAGAAGCCCCTATGTCCAGCCGCATCAGACGGGCGCGGATGAGAACCGGCAGCAGGCGGTTCGAGGTAATCAAAAGAAGGAAAATGCGATGGAAACGGCGCAAAAATCCGCGCATTGCGCGCAAACTGCGATTGAGATACCCGCGGAAGACAAGCCCCAGTGGGGCTCGGAATCGCAGCAGCTTGTTTCCGCTTCCGCTTCCGCGGATACTATAGGCAGCGAGGGCGCAGCTCCGGTTGCGGATCTTTCCTCCCCGCAGCGGAGGGAGGTCGATCTGTCCGGCACGTTCTTGGATGGTTTCGAGGAGCTTTCGGGCAGCCTGGGCGGGCAGCAAGATTTTTTCGAGGCTGCGACTGCCGCGGCGGAAGCTCCTCTGAGAGAGATGGGTCTGGGGGAGGCGCAAAACCAGGGGCATCTGGCGCTGCAGGCGCATCAGGTGGCGCAGCAGCAGCCGGGGAAAGCGCATCAGCCGCGTCAGTTGGGACCTCCGCACCTGGGGAGGTGCATTATAAGGGCGCGCGTTTGGAAGAGGCCTCAGGTCAGGAGGAGGTTGGAGCAGGAGGCAAGGAGGCAGAAGAACCATATGAGGTGTGTGGGGCTGGCATGGATGCAGATCTGATGGGGCTGTTCTGGGGCTGTGGTGGTGATGGTGATGACATTGTTATGGGGTGAATTTGATCTGGAGAAGGGGGTATTTTGGTAATAAATTCCAAAGACATTCGAAAGGGGAAGCATGAAGATGCTCGACCTTCTTGAGGAGAAGATCACGCAAGGCAATTCAAATATCTTGGAATAAGATGTGGAGGTGCTGGAAGGCTACGCTAGCTGTTATGGTGGAGAGCTTTGATGTCTCAAGCTCTCACGCTGTTGTGCATTGTGTTGTTATCATACATGTTCAATACTGGGAAATAATAGCCTCTAGAGTGCCATACTTGCTTTTTTAGAGTTCAAGCATGGTTGTACTGTTCTGTTGTATTAAAGGAGTTCTTTTCTGGAGGCATGTAAAAGCGAGTTATGTGACTACTACAGATTTGAGTGTTATAAAGCCCTTCCGTAGGCTGTCACATCACATACACATCCCCTTTATGAGCTGAACAGGGACGGAGGGCACCAGTCAGCAGCAGATGCAGGCAGTGACAAATCACAAGAGCTGCAGTAAACCGTACCGTCGTCTTGTGCTTTTAGGGCGCGTGCGTTCTTGCCGAACCTGACAAAGTTCGAACTCGAACCGTTTTGCACCGTGTCGAAACGTTCTTAATTGTATTCTACCGTGACGAACCGTTATGAAAGTTCGAACTTTCAGTCAGGTTCGGCAAGAACACACGCGCCCTTAGTTCTTCTGGGGGAAACTAGGATGAGCGCAACCTAGTTCCAACTGGGCCTCAGGGCCACTCTCTCCCCGCAGGACGGTCCTAAATGGAGTGGAAGATCGTAAAAGTGTCATAAAGTATGTTCATCCCGGTAAGCAATGCTTTGTTGATGCGGTCCATTTTCAAAGTTCCAGACACCAGGAACGCTTTTCGCTACTTTGGGGGGTTGCAAAAACACCAAAACACGTCCCTACCAAACCCGTTGACGAAAAGTAGTGATGCGGCGTTGATGCTGCACTTGTCGCAACCAACCACACGTCGACATGAACGATTTCGTCAACGAGACTTTCAAGGGTCTTGTCCGCCGCCAAAGCTACCCAAGTTACCCCCGCACATGCAATTTCAGTTGTCCCAGTGGTCCACCAAATTGGCACCCCCGTGTTGCCCCAGGGCTTTCGCTCTCCACCACAGGCTATTTGTGGTTCGATGGGTTCGGTTCGGTGATCTACCAAACCAATCGCAGAGGTCCCAAACCAAGCCGCGTAATTGCTGCAGTGGCAGTTGAAGATTGGTTGGGCGGGGGTTCTACGTAAGAGGTCTATTAGACAGGGAACATGGGTCTGGGCAGCAGATGAAGAACTCCACCCGAAGTCACCAAACGACATACTGTACCCGACGCCCAGTCTCGTTAAACATCAACTTTCGACTGGGATCTGAACATTCTCCTTGTCAAACACCAGCTCATTCTCGGAAAAACGACCTTGCATTTTGGGAACATGCTTGACAGTCGCTTAGCCCTCTACGTTGTGCAAGCATTCATGAAGGACCCTGTAGCCCATTTATGAGATTCTGCTTCCAATAATGACCTTTCCGGTGTAGTCTGTTTAGGAGAAGTACCCCCCACCAGCCTTTCCGAGGAGCGATGGTCCCAGAAAACCAGGACTTTCCCAAGGAAAAGCCAAACATCGGTATTTCGTCAAACAAAACTGCTGCTGCTGCTCTCTCGAGCTCGACCACATTTCTGCTCAGCCTGTTGCCTCGCTGCCATCGTTGCCCTACCCATCGTTGCCAATTCCCAAGACATGTACGTATGTGTGGTTATTGTAAAGGGATTATGAACTATAGAGTCAGGGCCGGCAAAAGCGTTGTCTAATCTGCCTGATATCTTATTCCAGCGGGCCTGACAGTCGTTGAACTGTGTATTTTATCCATTCCGATGCTGGAATCAGAAGCTTTGCATGACTTACGATCACACGAGTCGTCGTGGCCCTGAAGCCGTGCTTTTCTCAGCACGGCGTTTAGGAGCACGCAGTGCCGTTACTTTATGCTTTTGCGCGCTCCAATGCGTTGCAGCGCGGTCCGTTCTCCTGTTTTTTATGAGCCGTCACCGTGCACGGTTCTAAGGCGTGTATTTCCGACCTTTCAATGCGCTCCGTTGTTGCTGGCAGCTGCTCGTACCATCTAGGCTTCTGCACCACGTTCAGTATTTATTTTTGAGCCATTAAATACTTCGAGATTTCTATAAAGTGAAAATCTCGCGCGGAGCCAGTAAAGCCTAGTCGAAGCTCGCTATCACACAGGGCGGCCTTTAGAACGCTAGCAACAGTCGAAGAGACCACTTTTGAGGCGTCAAGGAAAGGGAACAACAGTCGAAGAAGCAATTTCTGAGACACCTAGAGAACGCGAAGGCAGTCGAAGAGTGCAATAAGCTGGAACGCGATGGGAAGCACGCCGCAAGTAAGCTCCACCAATCCCCGCCTCTTCTCACACTGGCTGTAGGGTTTGTTAAGGAGCCTCGATCCATGCTCATTGTGAGCAACAGAACGCATGCCGTACTAATTTTCTTGGCTTTTTGAGTTTACTGGAAAATAACATATTTTGATGCCATCAGCATTTCTTTTTTGTTTTTGTTTTTTTTTTTTTTTTTGGGTGTGTGTTTCCGTTTATCCTTTTTTGTTTTTGTTTTTGTTTTTGGTTTCCTACTTATCCGTTTCCTTTGCTTTCCATTTGCTCGTTAATTTTCCTATTCAGGACGTGCTTCAGCTGCAGCAGCTGCTGCAAGAGCTTCAGCGGCAGCAGGGAAACCAGCAGAACCAAAATCAGCAGAGCCAGAACCAGCAGCGTCGGCAGCCGGAGCAGCAGCAGCTACAGCAGCAACGTCAGTCACCTCAACAGCAGCAGCAGCAGCAGCAGCAGCAGCAGCAGCGCTCGTCTCCCCAGGACCAGCAAATACAATCCGTATTACACGAGCTCACCTCGCTTCTCGGCGGGGCTGGCGCCTCCAGTGCCGCCCTCGGCGGAGTAACTTCCCCCCATTCCCCGCTCTCCTCCATGAACCTCCAGGTGCAGCTGCGCGCCGCGGACACTTCCGCGCGCACGCCAACTTCCCCCATGTCCCCGTTCTCCATGGGCGGAACGGCTTCCCCCGGTTTAGACCAGCTTATCGCCAGCGTCGCGCGGGGGGGGCAGCAGGGGCAGCAGGCGCAATCTCTAGCCAGCCTCGCCGCCGCGCTCGGCGGGCTTGGCGGGGGGGGACGCGGAAGCGGAAGGGCGGGCGGAACGGGCGGGTCAGGCGCAGCGGGGGAAGGGGCGGCGGGATGAACGCGGCGGCGATTGCCGCGGCGTTGGGGGCATTGGCTGCGCCCGGGACCCCCGGGACTCCCAGCACCCCGCCATCCCCGTCAGTGCAAGACATAGTCGCGAGGCTTCAGCTCTTAGCGGAGCTTCAGGCGGTAACCGGCGTCGCGCGATCGCCGTCTGCCCCGCAGAACCCGCTCCTTCAGCAGCAGCGGGGGCAGCAGCAGCAGCAGCCGCAGCAGCAGCAGCAGCAAGTGGGGCAGCGGTTGCCGCCGCAGCAGCCGCAGCGAATGCAGTTAGACAAGCAGCAGCAGCAGCAGCAGCAGTTGCTGGATCAGCTCGTGACGGCCCTCACAGGAGGAGGGGGAGGAGGAGGGGGATTGGGGACGGGACGTGGTGGGGGGGGAGGGGGTGGAGGAGGGGCTGGGGCAGGAGGAGGAGGGGGTGGAGGGGGGTTGGGAGCGGTTGGGGATTCGCCAAGGCAGAATGCGCTGCTGAACCAGCTGCTTGGCGCGCTAGGCCAGGTACGTGCCACGTTGGTACGAGTCCTTTGGCGCACACATTTTTTTTCCTTGTTTTGTTTGGTTTTGTGCAACGTATCTATATGTGTGTTTGGATTCCGTGCGCGGGCAACTCTCGTGCGTTCGATGCTTTCCGCAGGCCACTTATAGCGTACACTTCCGCCCCGTGCCTGCTGCCCTTCCGCCCTTCCGCCTCGTTATTACGTGCCCCTTCATTGCGCGTCTGCTGTTGCCTGTTGCGTTTCAGGCCACTGCCCCGCGCGTAACGCCCCCGCAGCCCCGCCCGCGCCAGCAGCAGCAGGCGCAGGCGCAGCAGCCGCTGCTGCAGCGCGCGCAGCAGTCCCCGCTTCAGCCTCCGCGGCCGGGGGGAGGCCCGTCCCCTTCCGCGGCGGCGCTAGCAGCGGCGGCGGGAGGAGGGGACGGAGACAAGTATGGGGTGCTGGATATGCTGCTGTGCGAAGCACTGGCAGCTAAACTGCAGGGGCAAAGGTGAGCTCACGGGGCGAGTTCTGGGTTGTCAGAGCAGAGGAGAATGGGATGGGGGGTAAAGAAACACATATTCTGTGTGGGGAAAAAGAGAAAGGGGAAGGGGGCAACCTAGGGGTGTTATGTAAGAATCGGAATAAGAAGTTTTTACCGCAAAGGACGGGTGATAAAGCTGCGAAGCGTGAATGCAGCCAATGCAAACGTTGTTTGACACTTTAATATAAATACATGGGATGTGAGATACGTGAAACGATTTTCCAGGAGCCTAAAGAATGATCTCATACCTCCGCTCACAATGCCTGACCCTCCCCACCGGCCCCCCTGCCTTGTTGGTGCGCCAATCCTCGGCGCAACCCATGTTGCCTCTCCAGCTCTCACCAATCCTCGCTCTATCCCAATCCCTACCCCACTTCTTACCCCACTACCTACCCCACTCTCTCACGTAATCCACTCCGTACGCGCCTTCTTTTGCCAACGTGTCCGCCCATCCTTCCCCTCACTATTCCCCTTTCGGCCCCACTCCCCACACATCCCCCTTTCCCCTTCCGCCCCAGCCCCTCCGCGCCAACCAATCCGTCCCCCCTGGAGCGCCGCCAGTCCTCCTCGCGGAACCCCAGCTGGAAGGCGGGCGCGGGCGGAAGCTCCAAGGGGGGCGCGGGCGGAGGGGGCGCGGAAGGCGCAGGGGGGCTTGGCGGGGGGAAGGGCGGAGCGGATGAGGGCTCGGGGGCGGGCATGGGGATGGCGGATAGCGCCCCTGAAGCATCCGCGTTTAGCGTCAGTCAGGATAGTAGCACAAGACCAACAGCAGAGGCAGCAGGCGGAGGGGGAGGCGGAGGGGCAGGGGGCGCAAGGGTTTCCGCCCAGGCCCCCGTTTCCCCAGGGCGGGGAGGGATTGACCTTCCGCGCTCCCCCACCTCCGCCGCCTCCCCTGGTGGCGGAAGCGACTCTCAGGGGGATTTATTGAACCAGCTGCTGCAGCAGAAGCAGCAGCAGATGCGCCAGCAGGGGGGGAGCGCGGGAGGGGGAACGGGGGCGCTTGGGGGGAGCCAGCCGCGCCAGATGGGGGGGAAGCAGGCGCAGTCCAGCAGCAGTGGCGCGGGGATAGGCGCGGGGGGGAGTATCAGTGGCGCTAAGGGCGGAAAGGGCGGAATGTCTGTAGAGGAAAAGGTGCTGGCGGAGTTAGTAGCAGCAGCGGCGGCCGGGAAGGGGAAGATGGGGGAGGCGTGGGGGTCTATTCTCGCGCAGGCGCAAGCAGACCTGGGGAACATCGAGCTCTCTGATTCGCTGGGCGCGGACGGGGGCGGGCGCGGGGGGATGGGGGGAAACGCGGGGGGCGAGGATATGCAGGAGGGGAGCCGAGGGGCTGGGGGAGGGGCAGGGGGAGGGGATGGCGGAGGGGAGATGGAGGTGGATGGGAAGGCGAGGGGGGCAGGAGTGAGTGGTGGGGGGGCGTTAGAGGAATCAGCTCAAAGCAGGCCGGGAACAGGGCAAAGCCGGGGTGGGGGAGCAGCAGCAGCAGCAGCAGGAGGAGCAGCAGGAGCAGGGGGGGCAGCAGGAGGCAGGCAGTCTACCGAGAACAACATATTTAATCTTCAAGCGAGTGCAGTGAATGAGCTCTTAGAGGGGATAAACATAGCGGGATTCGGCCTGAATCTGGACACACTAGAGTTTGACACGTCAGAATCAGGCCAATCCAGCTCAGTATGCATGAGCCCTGCTACAGCCGCCGAAGTCTCGGGCAGCAGAGCGAGAATTTCCTCCGCCATGAGCCCGGCAGGGGCAGCAGCCGCGGGCAGCAGCCAAAATCTTTTCGCAGGGATGACCTCCCGAAGCCTCAACTCCCTCTCTCTGAAAAAGAACACCCCTGTGGGGGCATCAGGTTCCCGTAGCGGCATAGACGCAAAAGGAGGGGGAGTGCCCCTAGGAGGGGGTTCCCTAGGGGGTTCCCTAGGGGGTTCCCTGGGAGGTCGTGCTTCCAGCCTTAACGCTGCTCCCTCCAGAATAACTCCCCAAGACCCTGGGTCTGGGCCCAATGGGGACCTGCTAGGAGCAGGAGGGGCAGCAGGAGGGGCAGCAGGAGGGGCAGCAGCAGGCGGAGGAGGAGGAGGAGGGGAAGGAGGAGCGGGAGGAGGGAGTGGGAAGGAGAAGGCGCAGGGGCGGCCAGCAGGGTGGCACGTGGGGCTGGAGCTTCTCCCCCTAGACACGCCCATAGGCGACCTGCCGTCCACTGAGGTGTTTGAAAACTCTGGGAAGCGAAGCCGCGTGGCCCTCTCTCACATCCGCACCTCCAGTGGGAGCTCCTCCCTTCCGGAATCCGAGCAGAAACAGCTGCTGGAGTTTGCTCGAAGCAGCGGTGTGCTAGGGAACAGCCCGGGTGGTGCGGGTGGGGGTGGGGGTGGGGGTGGGGGTGGGGGACGCCTGGCGGGGGTGCTGCTGGGCTGGCGGGCGGGTCGAATTGTTCGTCTGCCCGGACGCTGAGTCCTGCGCTGAGCACGGATTCCGGGCGGTCAGGTGGGGGGGAGAGCCCAGGTGGGTTCACGTCTTCAGGTGGATCCCCAGGTGATGGGTTTGCGAATTCTGCTTTCGAAGGGGGGGGATCTGGAGGGTCTGGCTCTGGGTCTAGTAAGCCGGGCAGGAGCCCGCAGCTTCCGGGAAATTCAGCGGGGCAAGCGGGGAGGGGGCGGAGTGGGGAGCGAGGGGGGAGGGGGATGGGGGGGGCAGGGGGAGTGGGGATGGGCAGTAGGGACGGTAGCAGGGAGAGGATGAGAAGTGAAAGTCCTATGAGGGGGGAGAGTCCAATCCGGGGGCGGAGTCCCCTCAGGGGGGAGAGCCCTTGCAGGAAACGAGCCTGGGGGAGTGATGTGGGGGAAGGGGAGAGTGACAGAGACGAGGCTATGGGCCAGGGGGATGAGGCGCAGGGAGGGGGGGGAGCAGGGGGAGGGCGGAGGGGGCCGGGGGGAGGGGCTGGGGGGAGTTCGGGGCAGGTCAGTGGGGCGAACAGCGGGGGAGGGGGGAGGGCGAGGAGAGGGGGAGGGGGGAAGAAAGGGGGGGCGGGGGCGGGTGGGGGGACGTCTTCCGCTGGTGCTGCTGTTGGGGGGGGCAGTGGGGGTGGCCAGGGAGAGGCGTCAGGGGGAGAGGCGAAGAAGCAGAGGCAGAAGAGAGGGACGGCTACAGATCCACACTCAGTTGCTGCACGGGTGAGTGAGTGAGCTAATGTCAAGGTGTTGTGGGGCTGTTGTGCGATCAGTCACTGCCGTCCCCCAAAGGTGGTTCTTTTATTTGACCTGGTGGCAAATGCATGAAAGAAAGAAGCACTCTAGCCGCCGCCCCCCCACACCTCTCTCCGCTTTTATCCCTTTCAGTCATCCGCTTCGATTTAGTGCCAAATGCATGGAGGGCAAAGGTACTCTTTTCACACCTTCCCCCTTTCCCCCCTTCTCTGCTTCCCCCCTTTCAGCTTCGAAGGGACTGCATCAGTCAGCGCATGCGGGCGCTGTATGACTTGGTGCCTCTCTCCTCTCCCCCCATTACCACCTTGAGAGCGCAGAATGACAATGCCCTTTCCCCACTCTGCCCCCCTTACCTCCCTCCCTTATCCCCTCAGCTGCGTCGGGACGGCATCAGCCAGCGCATGCGGGCGCTGAGTGCATTCAGCGCATTCAGTGCATTCAGCTGTATGACTTGGTGCCGAATGCACGGAGACATAAGCACCCTTCTCACGCCTTCCCATTCCCCACTCCCTCTCTCCGCCTTACCCCCTATCAGCTGCGTCGGGACCGCATCAGCCAGCGTATGCGGGCGCTCTACGACTTGGTGCCGAATGCACGCAACACAGACACAGCATCCATGCTGGATGAAGCGATTCAATACGTGCGCTCGCTGCAGGAGCAAGTGCAGGTGCGTGCAAGAGCAAGTCCATATAGCTACCTCAAAGCTAATCGCTCGTGCCTCTCCCTCATCCGCTCTTTTCACTACCCGCTCGCGTCTGTGCACCTAGGAAATGTTTCAGTATCTGTTGCCCTTCCCTCATCCTCATTTTCCGTTTCAACTCTCCACCGCTCCCTTGCACCAACACAGACTCTGAAGAAGGAGAAGGGCGAGAGCCAGGGAACCTCTTCGGTGGGCACGGGCAGTCTGGGCCGGCCGGCGGACAGCAGCAACGAGGGCGGGACGAGCAGGAGTGCAGGGCAGCAGAGCATGGGGCAGAGCATGGCACAGAGTGTGGGACACAGCGTGGGCCAGGCTGGGTATGGAGGTACGGAGGACGGGTTTGGCTCGGAGAATGAGGTTTGGGAAGGGAGTGCGGCGCCTTCCCCCATGGGCAGCGGTATGGGCAGCAGGAAAAATTCCCTGCACCTGCTGGCTGACCGGCAGGGGAGTGGGGATTTCGGGGCCCTGGGGCAGGAGGTTGGAGATGGGAGGGTGGATGGTGGGTTGAGAGGGGTTGGGGTGGGTGTGGAGGGGTACATAAAGGCTGAGCCAGAAAATGATGATTTTGCTGAGCCACAGGAGCTGGAGCAGAAGCCGCAGCAGCATCATTATAATCACAACCATCATAGTCATCAGCATGCACATGCACTAGCCCCATCAGGCTCAGGTGTGGGTGTAACGGGTGCTGCTGCTGGCCTATCGCCACTAGTAGCAACTGCAGCAGGGGCTGCAACTCATGGGAGTGTTTTGGCTGGAGCAACTGGGGTGCTTGCGTCTGGTGGTTTGGTGGATGTGGCGAAGGGTGGCAACAGTGGCCTTGTAACGGAAGCTGCTGGAGTAACTGGTTTGGAGAATATGATAGTGGGTGGTACGGAGGTGGAATGGCCGGGTGAGATTGAGTTAACGTTGGAAGACATGAACATGGTGGATCTTGGCGGGTGGGATTTTGACTCTTGAGGAGTGACAGGCAAACTTAATGTAAAATTTTTAAAGTGTGTAACACTTTTCAAAATTGTGTATTGTGAATAGCGAAGCGAATTGTACCGAAGCAAAGGCTTCGGCGAAACGCTAATTCCCCTCTTTTTCGGTATAAAAGAGGGGGCGAAGGCCATTTGGCCTTCACCCACGTTTTCATTTCGAACTTTCAATTTCAAGTTTCGAGATTTTCTTCGTCCAAGCTGGCGAGGACCAAGACTCTGCCTCGCTTCACCTCTCCGTCGACGCTTCTCTCCGACATTCTCGATCGGAACTTAGCAACGATGGCGCCGGCGAGCAACAATACCCCCGGGGCTAAGGAGTCGCCTGCTCGTCAATCGACGGGACTTGAAAAAACGCCTCGGGAAAACGCCGCTGAAAAAAGAAAGCGCCCTGCCGAGAATCACGCCGAAGCGACCCACACGGGGGTCGACGTGTTGCTCGGTGAGGGCGGAACAGTCGCGCGACCCACACGCAGGCTCATGGGCCTGCAGGCGGCGACAATGATGGCGATTTCGTCGCCATCCCTGCCGCCGCCACTGCAGATCCGAGCGGATCTCGCGCCCCCCCGAAACGCAGGGCGACAGATTCGGCCGCGTCAGACGGGGCGGGCGCGAATCTTTCGCCCCCGCAACTTGCGGCACTGCTGGCGCTCCTCCAGAAGCAGGTCTCGACTCCTGCAAAAGCGCCTACAGCAACAAATGAAGAAGAAATTTCTGCATCCGCTAAGACTGCAAACGTGCGCAACAACATTTCTACCTCCGCACGTGTCGCCGCACCCACCCGCACCGACAAAGGAAAGGCGCCTGCCGTCGAAGACGAACCGGCTGCCCCTGCTGACATCGACTCCGACTCTGACAGTGACGAGGGTGAGGAGCCAAACAACCTCATTCCGAATTTGCCTAACGATCTTCTTCCCCCTCTCCCCTCTTCTCATCCCTCGACCGCGGCCGCTGCCTTCAACCGCAAAGGCGTCCGCGACCAAGCTGAGATCTTCGAAGCGCTCCAGATTTACTTGGCGCACGTGGACCACAAAATCCGCGGCGGTGACACTACCGGCGCGCTCAAGACCGTCGCCCAAGCCCAAGAACTTATCAAGCGTCGTTTTGACGTGTTGGTTGTCGCCGACCACGCCGGCTTCGACGTAGCTGAGCGCTACCAATTGCTGAAGACTACAGCGGTGTTTACCTCGCGCTCCTTCAAGATGGCAGTGGCGGACATGGCGGCGCTCTGTCAGTGATAACGGACTGGAATGGTGAACTAGAAAGGATTGTGAGTACAAATATGAAACCCTAATGTGGTGACCCCCCTATAGGCTAACCCACTACAGCCTACACAAACACAACATATATAATGTTTGACACACCCCCATAGGCAAAGTGGGAGAGACCTAGGGGTCACAAGACCAGTCAAGGCAAAGCAAGGCAACAACAAGCTCAGGGTGGATCTCAAGGATACCACACAAATTCCGAGCACAAGCTAGTGGTCACAAGACCAGTTCACATGCAGGTTTATAACAGAGCATGGGATACAGTGATCACAACCTAGCAAAAGTAAACATGCAGGTAGATATATATATAGTGATCACAGTACAAGCAAGGTCAAGAGGTAAGTAAGTGAGGTCCAGTAGGCACAAGGCCTAGCAGAGTGCAGAAGCGCTGATGGTCACAAGGCGGAAGCGCCTTGGTGAACACATCAGCAAGGTTGGCCTCAGTGGCCATGTAACGCAGACAAAGCTGACCGCGCTGCTGCAGCTCTCGAGCAAGGAAGTACCGCAGGGCGATGTGCTTCGTTCTGTGCTCCAGTCTGTGCTCCTCACACAAGGCAATGGCAGCCTGGTTGTCGACGTACAGCACTGGAGGAGAACGAGGCCGCTCACCCAAGTCGGTCAGCAGGTAGGTCAGCCAGCGTAGCTCCTGGGCAGCCATGGCTGTGGCGTAGATCTCAGCCTCACAACTGGAGCTGAGAACAGAAGAAGAGCGTGTAGAACGCCAAGAAACTGAGCCGGAGCCAAGGCTGAAGGTGTAACCCTGAGACGACCGCTGAGTAGCCTGGTCGTCCGCCCAAGAAGCGTCTGAGTGTCCAGTAAGTACAACTCAGTCTCGCCCTCCAAGCACTAGCCCTATGCCCGACGTACTGCACAAGTAGCGCAACACCCTCTTAGCGGCATCCATGTGCTCCTTCCTGTGACGGCCAGGAGCGACATAGCGTGCAAGGATGCTAAGAGGGTATGCAAGGTCAGGTCGAGTGCAGGTCATCAGGTACATGAGGCAGCCCACAAGCTCTGGATACGGGCCACTCGGCTCTACGGACTCATCCGAAGGCAGAGCTGAGAGCGAGTGACCGGTAGGCAGAGGAGTGGACTGAGGCGAGGAGTACGTGAAGCGGAAGCGCTGAAGGATCTGCTGCACCATATGTGACTGAGTCAAGGTGATGGTGCGCCGTGCTCTGTCCCGGGTGATCCGCAAGCCAAGATAGCTTGTCAGTTCACCCAGGTCTGTGCACGTGTGTCTCCTCTGCAGCTCCGACTTCACGTGGGCAAGTGCCGCGGTGTCAGCAGTGGCAAAGACCAAGTCGTCGACGTACACGAGGATGTAGAACGGCGGCAGTGAGGTGTCTGTGCGTAGAAACAGTGACGGGTCAGCAGTAGAGGGAGCGAACCCAAGAGCCGCAAGTGTCGTCCTCAGTGTGTCGTGCCACTCACGCGGTGCCTGGCGGAGACCGTAGACCGGCCGCTGAAGCCTCCACTGGGTACCAGGAGGAACCGACCCAGTGAAGCCAGGAGGGCGGCGCAGCCAGATCTCCTCGTGCAGGCTGCCCTGCAAGAAAGCAGTGCTGAAGTCAAGTGAGTGAAGCTCGTAGTCGCGCTGAGCGGCTATGTGCAGCAGCACCCGAAGAGTGGTCATCTTCGGGGTGGGGGAGAAGGTCTGAAAGAAGTCAACTCCCTCTCGCTGACTGAAGCCTCGAGCCACGTAGCGTGCCTTGAAGACAGGAGGAGAACCCGGTGGCCGCTTCATGGCCTGCCACTGAGAGGAGTAGGGACCCGCCATCGCCTCAGCGTAAGTGCGCGGGGTCGGGATGTCTGGTGCATCCGGGTCTCCCTCAGGGGCAACTAGCATGGACACGAGGTGGGGCAAAGCAGCAGCAAAGCACTGGAACTCCTCCTGTCTGTCCTCAAGGACGTCCGTGCCAAGAGCACACTCACCCCCGACGGACGGAGGACAGACAGACGCAGACTCAGACTCGGCAACAAGGCTAGTGGCGTAGTCTAGACGACACCGGGCAGCAAAGTCTATCAACTCAGCGACCAGAGCAGACGCAGCAGAGGACTCAAAGGTAGGGTCAGTGACAACAGTAGCGAGGAGACGGGTGACAGTGGGACTGGCAGCACGACGGGAGTCAGACTCCGGATCAGGAAGAGTAGGCAGAGAGGAAGCAGGAGGAGACGGTAGCGGGACACGCTGAGGAGCAGTGGAGGGACGCAGAGTCATGTAGTGAGTGCCAGGGACAGGAGGAGGACGCTCACGTGGGACACGACGACCAGTGCGAGCAGTACGAACAGGCGACGCAGGACGAGACTCAGGCTCACGACGCTTTGTAAGACCTCCTGTGGGACCAGTGTAAGGAGAGGGAGCAGGGAGAGGCGAGGCAGGCGGGAACTGTGACTGCGACTGGACAGGCGGAGGACACTCTACGGAGGGAGGAGGACAAGGAGGAGGAGCCTGACCAAGAACCTGCTGAAGAAGTGGTACGAAGTACGGTCGCGGCCTCGTAGCGTCTCCAGAACCAGCAGAGACACCAGCGGCAGGGTCCTCAGCACCAGCAGCAGCTCCAACGTCCGGGTCTCCAGCACCAGCAGCAGCTCCACCGTCCGGGTCCTCAGCTCCAGCAGTAGCTCCAACGCCCGGGTCCGCAGCACCAGCAGCAGCGCCACCGCTCGGGTCCGCAGCACCAGCAGCAACTCCACCAGCCGGGTCCTCAGCTCCAGCAGTAGCTCCAACGTCCGAGTCCTCAGCACCAGCAGCAGCTCCACCGCCCGGGTCCTCAGCACCAGCAGAAGCTCCAACGCCCGGGTCCTCAGCACCAGCAGCAGCGCCACCCCCAGGGTCCGCAGCACCCGGAGGACCACTCCGAAGACTGCAGCGGCGTGTGTACCACTCTCGGATCTGCTGAATGGGGGGGAGCTCCTGGGTAGGAGGGGAAGTACCGGGACGAGCTCCAGCAGCACCTCTCCGGAGGCGGCAGTACTCGAGGTACCTCTCCTGCAGCTGCTGGGAGGAGAGGGCTCCTCCAGGTGTAGCACGCTCAGGCTCAGCACCCCCAGACTCAGCACCCCCAGACTCCGCACCCCCAGGCTCAGCACCTCCAGGCTCCGCACCGCCAGGCTCCGCACCTCCAGGCTCAACACCCCCAGGCTCCGCACCCCCAGACTCAGCACCCCCAGGCTCAGCACCCCCAGACGCAGGACGAGAGTCAACAGCTACCTCGACAGGCTCACCCGGGTCTACCTGGGACACACCTGAGGGAGCGGCACCCTGAGGGGGGAGGGGGTCTGGTACCTCAGCACCTGGAGCGAGGAAGAGAGGCGGGGGGGGGGAGCGGGGCAGTGCGGTAGGGGAAGAGGCGGTAGTAGGGGACGGACTCGTCAAAAGTGACGTCCTGAGAGGCCAGGACACGACGCGAGGTGGGGTGGTAGAACTGCCAACCAGGGGCGTCTGGGACAAAGCCAAGGAAGACGCAGGGGACAGCGCGACGGGAGAGCTTGTCCGCGGACGTGTCGCGGACAAAAGCTCGGGATCCCCAGACCCGAAAACGCGACGCATCGCCAGCCTCTCCCGTCCAACGCAGTGTCGGAGAAGTCTCGGGCAAGGAGACACGGGGCCAGAGGTTGAGCTGATGCGCAGCGTATCGGACCGCAAACGGCCACAGAAAATGGGGGGCAGCCGCATGACTCAAGGAGGTACGAGCGACCTCCATGACTA